GGATTGAAGTGGATTGAAGTGTAAAGACGTGTGTAATTGTTCCAATGATACCTGTGATATTATATCAGGCTGTTTAGAAAGTTCTACCGTAGAGTCACAAACAAAAGAAGGAGGCGTCCGCTGTAAGTACAAAGGGAATTATTTTTAAAAACAAGAAAGAAAAAGGTAAACTCTTAAACTGATATACTTTTTGATTAGACGGTGGTTATCACATACGACTTTATATTTCTTAGAGAAATATTGTTGTTTGGTCTTTATCAACGCCATTATTTTAATCGTTGATCTTAACCATAAAGTCGTCACCCGCTTGTCGCAGTGGTACATGAAAGAAAGTCTGTTAAAAAGTCGCAGAGACAGGATTAATTTCTTAAAGCCGCTTGGTCCTATTCTAATTGCCAAAAAATATATTTGTTTTTCTTCCTGAAAAATAATTGTCCATAAATTGTTTCACGTTTTGTCAAATTATATCCCCAAAGTCCTTTTCTTTTAAAAGATATCAAAATTCAAAAGTTAATAAAAATAATTTTTGTTAGGTCACACAAAAAATAATCCTATGTTGATATCGCGTGAAATCACCTTCGAAAAATTAAATTTATCGCTTACATGTATATCTCATGAAGAACAAACCCGAGCATTTTTTTACAACAAAGTACTTATATCTGTACATGGACAATATTTTATCCTTCGACGTTACTTAACTTCCTTTAAAAAACATCTGATTTTTCTTTAATTCTTTAAATATGCATAATAATATAAAAATTACTATGGATTATATTCAATCTAATTAGATTGGATTATGACTTAGGCTTCTACTAATGGAAAAAAATAGTCGGGTTTGAATTATCTTCATAATTAGATAAAACCGATAAATTTATTTTTATCAAAGGTGACTTCACAACAGATCTTAACTTCCTTTCAGGAACTTCTGTTTGTCAATAAGGTTTTTGATCTATGTTTTCCACGTAAAGATTGTTGTAATAATCTATTAAATTAATCTTATAATTTAATTTTATATCTTATCTATGTAATGACGTACTTTTATTGTGTAAGATCATATGTGCCTGTTTCGGATTGAGCGGCTTTAAGTTGCTGGTTTAAATCCAACTGCAGGACATGGAAAGTGGCCTATTTGATGACATCTTAACATAGATCTCGCGTAGCAGCAGTCAAAGGTCCAAATATTTGTATAAATTTACAGCCTTTCAATTGCCTGTGGTGGAGTAAAAATATGAGTGGAGAAATCTTGAGAGAGGCATGAAAAAGCAAAAACTAAAAACCTTTTATTCTCCATGAATAAATAAAAACATAATAGAACTGGAAAAGAAAGAATGACTGCACTTAAGCTATGGAAGTTGGAACCCGATGTTTTGCGCAAAATAAAATTCCAAAATTCATTCAATTTATGTTTTATAGGTATTAAACAATATCTTAAGAGCAGGTTTTGGTATATTATATAACATGAAAGTATTAAACAAAGCCGAGCGACACCAGCTTTTGAGACGGGGGTCTAATAATTTTGTCTCATTTCTTTTATTATTCATATGCATACCAGTTTTCAACGACTTTGTTTACATGGAGCCGCAACTTGGTCATTTTTCTTTTTTGCACAGAATGTGTATTTTAACTTGAACTTGTACATATCCAAAGGACAATGTTGGCCAAGTTGCGGCTCATTTCTAATTTTTAAAAAAATGTCCCCAGCTAGGGTTGAGATAACTACTAAATTAACCAGTCACCGTGCATAACGATTGTTATTATAATCACCTTAATCACGTGACATTCTGCTGTTCGATACGCTAATGCTTTCATTGAACATTTCATTGTGTGTAAGTCTCTGTTGTGACAGTATCTATTGTACTTCCAACTTCAAACTATGGGATATCTTTGCGCAAATTTTAATAGGGTTTGAAGATACATGTAATATGTCTCTTATTTAACTTTATGCTTTACATTAGGGGTGTTTGGAAAGATTTCTGGTATTGACAGTGTCAATAGTAAGTACATGTATCTATAGGCCTATGTCGCCTCTGTATTATGGTTTGTAGAACGAGACATCTACCCCATCCCTTATCATCAGAATCATTTCATAATTCACTGCATGAAAAGTCGGGTTTAATTTTACCTTAAATGTGATTTAAATGCTGCGATTATTTAATGTTTAAATGCATATTATAACATATTGTGGGATCGTAAATGTTAGAAAATAATTAGCATTTAATACGAGTTTAATGAAAAATTAAAAGAACAAATTTAATAAAGTTTGGAAAATTGTAAACTTACTAATACGTACGGATTTTAGTCTGCCGTAAACAATTATTATACCTCTAATATACAAAACGTTTAATTATTATTAAACATGGCCATAAAATTAAGTTTTACGGTCACATTAAATTTGTTCGTTTAATAAAATTTAACGTAGATCTTTACCTCATTATTTTTTGTTAAATTCACACTTTACTTTATAATACTTCCAAAAATAAAGTTATATACGGAGAATTGTAAACTTACTAATACGTGCAAATTTTATTCTTTCATAAACTAATATTAAATCTCTTGTATATGTAATGAAAATGTACTGATTAAACCTTCCCATATAATTAAGATTTAAGGTTGTATTTGATGAAATTTAACATTATTATATTATTGCATAATATTTTTATTTTACATTTATTCCATCAATAATTTGTATGGTTTACATTTGTGGTTTTTTTGGCAAGTATTTTACAATCTTACACAAATCCATTTCTCATTCAATTTTATTAGATGTTATCTCAATAGTGTACAAACAATGAGTTCTAACAAAGTACAAAATATTTCAAATCTAAGCCTAAAAGTCAGAATTAAAAAAATTACAATCATGATTGTAGCTCAATTATAATGGAGTAAATTTCTACATACTAGTAGTAAGTAATATACTGAAGTAATTATAAATAATATAAGAATAGTATTGTATGTAAAATTCAAATCCGCAATAAATTAAAACACAACAGGTAAAAAATGTAGTCATTCTGGACTCCAAAAGACTGCAAAATCTGACTGAAACTGCCCCTATTAAAACTTCTGCATGGGTTGTAAATGGCTTTTCAATTTCCCACAATAAATTATATCATACTTTGCATAAAAAGAGTAAAAGTTGCCAATAAAAGTTGTCCATTCTTTTTACATGTACATTTTAATAAGACACACTAAGCCACTAACAGAGAAGCCTCACTCGCCCACAAGCAACAGCAAAAGGATCAGTCAGAGACACCACCTTTCTCTTGCTTGGGTATCAAGATCTGCAACTTACTGCCAGCAAAGCTCTTTTAGACCACCCTTATATTGTTTCCCAAGTATTTCCACAATAGATTCCATGCACTTATTATCCAAGTTCTACTTGAAAAATACTTAATGTTGACTGTGAAAAATACAAGACCCAAAAAAATCCCTTATATCATTTGGTTATGTCAATTCAAAATAAGGAAAAAGTATCACAATTACACAAAACCACAAAACAATAGCAGCTTAAATTTGTTTACAATACATGTAGCTCATTTCTGTTCCAACTGCTAGGTTTATTGCTTGATGATTGTAATATAACATATCCTCATTAAATCAACGTTACATTGGAATGCAAAACATTTCAATAGTGATATTTTCAACTTTGCTTTAAAATATCAAAAATGAGCTCTGAAACATGCACATATAAAAGTCCTGTATAAACATATGTAAAAGTATATTTAACAATTTTTTAAGCCTTAATTACAATTCCATAACTCATAATTCATAAACTCTCTTACTTCAAATGGAAGGAAACAAATTAATATTTTACTCTTGCAATTCGCATTTATTTACTCTTGCAATATCAATTATAATATTTATTAAAATCACAATTCACCCCTTTTTTACTCAGAAATGTCTCTACCTCATTTGCCTATTCTATTTTTTACATCTATGACTCACTAAGCCACTGACAGAGAAGCCTCACTCGCCCACAAGCAACAGCAAAAGGATCGGTCAGAGACGCCACCTTTCTCTTACTTGGGTATCAAGATCTGCAACTTACTGCCAGCAAAGCTCTTTCAGACTACCCTTAATCATGATTGTCTTATTTTTTCCACAAAAATGTCCATGCACTTATTATTTAAGTTAGACTTGTACATACATGTGATATATAAATCAAGATTAAAATGTATGTGATTGCAGACCAATAAATGTTTAAACAATAAAAAACATAACAGTTTTAATCTGTAATCAAGCATAAGAAAAAGCTTTCACTGTCAAAAATACAACACTAGGTATATTTTTCTTATCTAAAATTGAATTTGTGCAAAACAGTAGCAACTCAGATATTTCATCTCTAATAGCCCATCTCTGTTCAATTAATACATCCATAGGTTTGACTCTTTTAGATTCTTTATTTGTCCTAGTTCTTCTTATGCTCTGCCTTTTAGAGTGCTTTGATTTGAGAATGGCACTTTTGGTGTCCTGTTCTTTGAAGACATTCTCACATTCATCAGAACACAACTTCAGCTTTCTAATTTCATAGATAGTATTATCATTAGAATCATTTTTTGTACTATGAAGATGTAATCAATATATAAAACTGCTTTTTCTTGCTTCTTCTTCTCTTCATGCCAAGAAGTTTTCAGCTCTGGAGAAGCACCCCTAGCTCCTAATTTCTACAATAAACATAAAAATAAATACCCATTTGCCTATATATACATATTATATGTGTGCTTCCGGATTTATGCAATTGCATATATTTAATAGTAAAAACAAAATCTGAGTTGATTTTAAAATTATCATTTGACCTAGAGGAAACACAGCTCAATTTTGCTTAATTAAAAATTTACAGAAGACTACAAGAGATATGCCATTTTTTCAAATCTGGGTAATAAAGACAGATAATTATCTATAATTTCAGGCCAGCGAGCTACAGATTTGGAAGCGTGTTAATTTGGGTCTAATGATTTTTTTCACCATCTTTTTGTTTGGAGCATTTTACCTTTTCTCTGCTCCTCCACACAAATTCTTTCATTTAGCAGCAAGATACTATGGATATGGTAAAAAGCTGTCAGAAACAAAATATGAAAAATTAATAACAGGTGTGGCTCTCCATAGAAAGAATATACAAAAAAGGAGAAAAAATATACAAACAGGGTATACTTATGACTAACATGACTACAGCAAGAAGATATCATTTTACACAATGAAAAAAATTCTCTGTGTCATCTAGTTAAGTGAATTTCATAAAAAAAAAACATATAATTATATATATAGATCAAATTTATAGGATATGATATGAAACATACATAATGGTACCGTAGTCCGAGCACATGGAATTTGAAGATTTACAAAGTTTAGGAAAATGCAAAGAATAGCATTTACAGCATTTATCATATTAAGACACACATATATATAGTTTCACAGCAGCAAGCTGCAGAATTTGTGGAAGTACATGTCAATTGGGGTTTGGTGACTTTTTGCCATCTTTTTTTTAGCAATTTACCAATGTATTTACCTGCTTGACCTTGAATATGTTGAGGTGCGCAGCCCTTTTCTTCGTGTTCCTCCACGATATTTTATTTAATGTAGCAGAAAGATACTATGGATAAAAAAAATCTGAAAAATTAAAAGCAGGTATGGCATCTCGTAGAAAAAATATACAAACAGATGTATTTATGATATAGAGCAAGTAGATAACATTCATACAATAATAAAATCCTCAAACTTTGTGATCTAGTACATATATGTATTATATTAAATTTAGAGACGACAAAACATGATATGAAATGGGTGTACATACTCGGAACACATGGAATTTAAGAGTAAACTTAAATGCAAAGGTAAGCATCTACAGCATTTAACATGCAAGTTATTGGGATAATGAACAAGTGATTTAACATAAAGTAAAATATATTAACAACTTACACTGTAGATAGCGAGTTTTTTAAGTGGACAACAAATGCAAACTCAGGGATTTTCCATACCATTTTGGGAAAGGGGCCCAGGCCCTTGCAATTGGGAATTTAACGACATTTTATCACTTTTGGGGAATTTCTATTGCATGAAAATTTTCAAGAAATAAACACTTATAATCAATAAAATTGATTTTTACTTCATTATTCAGAACTATAATTCAGAGAATAGATTAATTATTCTAAGTTTTAGTCAAGTTTCCAACAAATTATGTTCATTTCATCCATTTCAACCTGACCATGTTTGTTTTACATGAAATTTTATCAGTTGACTTTGTGGAGTTTCAAAAATTGAACTCATGCTAACCATATTTGGGAAAAATGGAAGGAATTTGCAATTGGGAATCCGAATGGGGCCCATATTCGGCCCTACACGGGGTAGTGTAAAATCCCTGAAACTTCCAGTAAATGGTGGCAATCTCATACACAATAAGTTATACAACAAATGATTAGTTTGTACCTCATACTGGGTAGCCAAATATCTGGTCAAGTCACTTTCAGGAAGAGAGCCTCAGCAAGTTCAATGTTGATCATTCCCATACCTACTTCAAACTTTTCTGGCACAATTTCTGAAAGAAAAGATGTATCTTGCAGGGATTTTTATTCAAACTAGGAATAATTCTCATGAATGTAAAAATTTGAAAAGTTTATAGATGACCGACGAATACCAGACACAGAACAGAAAACTCGCTCAGGTCTTAAAATGGCTGGAGCCATTTAGGTGAGCTAAAATAAATCAATTCATTTGATTTTATTGATCTTATCAGAAAATTTAAGAAATCTTACCGTTGTGTTAATCTTCATACTGCTTTTGTCATTTCTTGTGAGCATTTGGATTCCTGTAAATAATGCATGCATAATTGTGCATCATAGAATGTGATAGCTATTTTTAATAATTCATGCTTACGTATTTAACGTAAAAAAATTATGCATAGCTCAGAATCCATTGCTATTGTATTTTTAAGATAAGGAAAATAAGAATATAAACCTCGCATTGTCTACTTGCAATTGGTATATAGCATTTCAAGTTGTTGCAATATTTTTTATACTTTTATGCATAAAGATACAAGTTAATAAAACATTGTTTATTTGTGATAATAGAAAATTTGAGCGGTATGGTTCTCACCATTTTCACAAGCTGTCTACATAGCCGGCGTTATGGGGAATCGTCTCAGGCACAGTCCACACTGCAACTATTTAAATAATCAAAATAAGTGCTCAATATATTCTTGAGTAGGCATTAAGAAATAAATAAATAATTTATTACATTGTACAACACTCTCTGTAAATGCTGAACAGAGGAACACATTAGTGACAAAAATTCTGAAACCAATCCCAAAATCCATCTTTAAGTAAGATGGTTAAGTGTTAAATAATTATTACAAAATGTAAAAAGCGCTTGTCCAAACGTTTTTACTGCCAGGCATTTTATGTGTACAGCCCAGACTAAGGAACAGTAATATTATCAGTAGCAGAGGCAATTATTCATTCAAGGACACATGATAAAATTTTGTGCATTGTTCCTACCGCTAAACAGGGTCGTAAATGTCTTCATCTTCTATTAAAACATAAATTCCATCCAAAGTTTATCATGCTTCTCCTTTTCGAGTAACTCTCTTTCGCCCCTTCCTCCCGTATAACATCATGATCAAATTCAACATGGCTGCGTGGAACTCTCCAAAAAATTGAATTTCGGCGCGGTGTGTTGTTTTTAAATAAATTGCTTTTCGAGCCCGACTTCGATCCCGATGTAATTGTACTACAGTGGTAGTCGATAGAGAAAAAACTAAGTTATATTCCACAGTTTTGAAAAATCTACACAAGGGTTAAATAAATAAAAATGAGAAATAAATAAATTAAAATGAATAGGGTGCCTAAATATTTTTTTTCAAAAATGTTTCAACATAAGTTTACATTAAGTATAAAGAATTATTTATGACATATTCAAAATACCAAAAATGTACTTAAACTTTAAGTATAAGCATATTTACTTTTACATGTCGATATTCTTAAACGGGACGTATAATTATCTCAATTAAACTATATTATTCTCGACGTATTTTGCATTAAATATGATTATACTTATTTGAAAACTGTATTTAATTATATCACAATATATCTCATGTAAAATGTACCGTTATACATAAATTAAATTCAATACAAGAAATATACTGGAGTAAACGAATTTATTAAATTATATTAAACGCGACTTTTCATGCAGTGATTGTGCACCATAAAATCAACAAGAGCTCTGTCTTCTCCATTTAAATTCGTAGTGCGAAAAAATCACATGTGCTAATGTTTACATTCCACAACCATGCGGTTTAAATGGGGACTCCGCCTATTTGCTGATACCTTAGATTCGAAAGTGGTCCCGTTCAAATTTCCGGAATTTAAGGCTTTTACATGTTCTTTTCAATTACATTTTCTGTAAGTATAGAAATATGTATGACAAAAAATTCTAGAAATAAATATTAAAAGCATGTGCTTGCACATTAATCATAGATTAATTTAGCGATATATTGTAATGTTAAGCTTAAAATGGGTAGCCGAAAAGGTTCCAACTCTCATAGCTTAAGTGCACTCATTCTTTATCAGTAGAAGTTGTAAAACGAATATGTATTAAAAGAGAAGTTTCAATAGCTTCACAATGGATGGTCGTCATAAAAGAAAAACTTACATCAATAATTTGATATGGATATATTTAGAGGTGAATATATCATTAAGCACAGTCTATATTGACATTTGTAGGAAAATCATATTTTTCATTATGCCTGCTGATAATATAAAGGGATACCAAAATGCTATTACCGAATTACAAAACGTATAAGTTCTGTCACCACTAACCACTTACTTGAGTCCCAAGTAATCTCGTGGTATTCAATAATGAACCATTCTTTAACTCAATTATTTATAAAATGTATTCCATGAACCACCTCTTATTGGCTAAAATATTCATCATCTGAACCGTTTTTTTATTAAAGGACATTCCGATTAAAATTATTTTATAATCATGATATCTTTTTCATAGTTTGCTATAGTGTATTTTGATACTATTGGAAAACGTGCTTTTATTCAAATGCTTTTAGAGGAAAGTTGTTGAAGGTACATATTTTCTACAGAAAAATATGAAATTATAAGAATGAAGAAGCCAGAGTTGTAAAGCCTGTAACTCGGAAAATAGAGGTTTGGTTGGGTTTTTGTATCAATCTCCTAAAACGTTTGAAATCAAATGAGATGCATTTATATTGCTTTAAATAATAAAAAGGGACACTTTTGATACTTATTCATACAGAGGAAAGTAAAACAAACATGATTTTATGCACGTTTATTTTGATAGTGGGAATTGTTGGTCGTTGCATATATTAAGCAGCAAGAGATCGCCAAGAGTAAAGGGCGACCCAAAATTACAACAAGCATGCACCAGTATGTAACATGAAAGCATAATATTACATGCACTTATAATTAACACAACAATAGCCATGTTCGATTTTCTAATGTCACAGGAAACTCGTCCGATAATTAAGAAAACTAGAGGTACTGTGAGCAATGAGCTCACTAAATGATAACCCCTGCCTCCTATATGAATAAAATGGCAGTGTCCATGTTTTGCTCTGGAAAATCCAAAATATACGTCAGATCAAAAAGTAAAATAGGAGGTGCCCAATGACAATATGTAATAAAGATTCTGTGAAAGTTTCATTTAATTTTCTTTAGTGGTATGAGAGGGGTTGCAGATAAGAGATGGGTACCCCTAAGCGTAACAGACGGACGGACGGACGTACAGACAGTCAGACAGACAGACAGACAGACAGACGGACGGACATAACAGTAACTATATACCCTCCCGCTTTTCAAGCGGGGGTATAATGAATGTTGGAGGGATTTTTAGTTGGAAGGGTAAGAAATAAAACAATAGTCTCAGCCTATAGATTTGAAATCAAACTTACCTTATTGAAATTAGACCAAAACATCATAGCCACTATTCAAGAGGGCAAATGTTGTAGACATTGTGAAAGAAGCCCAAGATGATAGACGCAAAATAGGCGAAATGTTTATTGCATACCTAATGAATCCAGAGATTTTTTTCCGCTCCAGGAAATTTGCAGAGATTAAGCTTCATGAAAAACCTAAAAATAATGAAATATATGTCAATGAGAAAAAAAAAGAAGATAAACTTCCATTATCTTCAAGATAGCATAGTTCTGTGCAACACATAATTCTATATAATCTGTTTAAAATTGCCACAGACCTTTACTAACTTGTTTACATTTTACTTTTTTGGAATAAAATAATTAATAAATAAATCATTACTTGCCCATCTATTACTTCCTACTGATGGAACCCGTGGTACATGTAAGAAGCATCGAAAGCATGAACGTTTGACTTTCTTTTCAGCTTTTGGATTTCTAAGAAAAATATTTACAATATACTTGTAAGACCCCTTGACATCTTAAATTAAAATAGAATAGAGAGTAAAGGGCTTGACACATCGAGTGCTTGTGATTATAATTTGCCATTGATCGTGGATTGCTGTCTGCTCACTGCAGAATGAACTTTTTCTTTTCAAAAGCAAGTTTACATTTGGGAACACATGTCGCACTTGAACTTTCTAAAATGTTCTTTGATGAGAATCATGATGTACCCTTGGTGGATATGCATATTTGTGACAATCGACAACTTCACTGTACCACTTTTCCCAAGTAAAAGGAATGAGTAAACTCATACATTTCTTTTAAGGACATTGCAGCTGGTAAAATAACTTTAGTTTGAAGTCATGACACCCAGTAAGTTTTCAATTAATAGAAAAAGATTGTAATTAAGAAGTACTTAATATTGTTCAAATGTGGGTATATGACCTTAACTTCAATTCAAATTTTATTCTAATGTCACAAACAATCCTTATATGAAATATAAACAGAAAACGTTTCTACAAATGAAAGACTTCATACAAGTTATATTTTAGGGTGAATTCACCATGCATCGGACACCCTTGTATTTCAACAAGTTCAAAATGGAGCTTAACATTTAGTTTGTGATTAAAATAACAATTTTGGACACAATTATATGCCCTGTATTGAGAAAATATCCCCAAAATTGGAGTTTTTAGGATTAACCGAGAATTCACCATGGATCGGACATTGTTCACCATGCATCGGACAGACGACATTTAGACCAGAAAAATATCATACCTTTATCACAGTGCTTTAAAATCCTTGATATGATTATATTTTCATATTTTATCTAAGATGTAAACCTCAACTTAAATTTAATTGTAGATATCGTTGCACAAATGTAGAACGGTTTAAGATACATCACTCTGCCTTAGAACTGCTTTAAAATGCTTATAATGCGGTTATTCGCACCTTTTTCTCATGGTTTATCACACTCTGGTTTGTAGAAATAAATTGAGTCAAATTCCAGACGTCATATATCGATAACTTGTATTTTGACTGAAAATTTTTTATTTTCTTTTTCCGCGAAAAAAACAGCTGTCAACTGGGTTCTGTATGAAAATGGTAGTGCTAACCTTTGCATCGAAAAGCGTCCGATGCATGTTTAATTTGTGTCCGATGTACGGTGAAATTAGCATACTAGTAAATACTAGCATACTAGTAAAAACCAGCTCTAATAAGAATTAAACAAACATTACAGTGAATTTCTTTATAATTTATGTAAAATTACGTATCCCTGACAAAATTCACCAAAGTCCGACTCGTTCCGTGAAAATCGAATTTAAAAGAAATTGCAAAATCATAAATTTCGGGTTATTCCCCTTTGATGATGTGAAATATGACGTATTCAAGGCCATTGTTGGGGCATTTTTATCACAACATGGTAAACACAATCGGTATCATTAAAAATTTAAATCTTCATCTTTAAGACAGAAACAAATAAATACACAGAACTCTTAAGTTGAAAGAGAGTAAATGGGCTAAAGTTGTCTGAAGCAAGGTATGTATCCGATGGATGGTGAACTCACCCTAATTATTATCCCAATGTCTTTTAATTACCCCGATTATCCTTAGATTTATATTTCTATAGCATGACACACTTTTAGGTCATAGGCAATGAAAAATACTGCTTGTATAGCAGAGCCTTCCATTGTCTGTCCATTAGATTTTTTTTTCTTTTTTCATTCTTAAATATTTTAAGGAACAAAATGCAGTTCCAATACATATTTGACCCTGTAATTTATATAAGATGGAAGTAACGTAAAAAAATCCACAATTTCTTAATAGTCCCTTCACGACAACTGCGGTACAACTCTTTTGCAGGGCAAATTAATAACGTTTGGCGAAGTTTTTGTTGATAGATAATTAAATGACATATTCTAAACAATTACATGTACATGTACTTTTACGTCATATTTCACCAAGATATAACATGTAGCCCTGCAAAAGAGCAGTACTGCAGTTATCGTGAAAGGGTCTATTCATAGAAGTCCCATTTCCATTAATTAAGAATAAACAATTTTTTTATATCTATAAGACCTCTTATATGCTAATTGTGACATCATTAAGTAGACTAGTTCATTTTCCCGTATTTTTAAAAATCTACATGTACCAGAAGACTTCAATTTTCAGTTGAATTTTCTTTCAGATAATTTAGAGCACAAACAGTGCCCATGAAGATTTTAAAAATTAAGATTTTTTTGAAAGGATCGTACACAATTAAAAATAATTGTAAAAATAATGTTTAAAAAATTGTGAAAATATCTGAAAAGTGGGCAAAGGCGGTGATTACTGCTTTCTAATGAGAAATTACCCCTGAAATTAGTCATATTAGGTATTTTAATTCTGTTTGAAATTTAGAAAAATGCCAAGATCATTATGGCCTTCTAGTATTCTCAGGATGTTTCTACTTCATCCCATAATCTTTCATGGTTCTTCACATTCATATATACATGTATATAATCAGATTTATATTGAGCCAAGTCCATAGCTTTGAAAACAATCAATGTTATTGGTACAATAGAACCCCTAACTATACTTTTTCTTTTAAAAATGTCATTTTAAATTGTATTTAGATATATGGACGACGTATTATAAATTAACAACTACATGTATAGAGTGATTTAGATTCAGATGTCAACAATATATACCAGTGGACTTGAAGTTAAAATCATTGTACAGACTTTGACGAATGTAATTCATATTTTGGTATATTATTTAAACAAAAAGCTTTTAAAAACTTTACGAAACATATACAGGTAAAAGCTTAAACTCTTAAATTGTTAGATTCCCTTGCTTATAAAACATTATTCCCTTATCACTTGCAAACAAGGTTTATATCTCTCAGTTTGGTATCCAAGGGCATGATATAATTATGTATAAACTGATTATTAAGCGATATAAGTTAGAGACAAACAAGTTTATGAAACAATAATATGATCAATCTTGTTTAAAGTCATATACAATGGACATTTCAGTAAATAAAAAAAACTTATCTAGTAAAATGCTGTCTGAAGTTTACCAAACTAATATTATTGGCAATTGTTTTGATGTTGATCCGTCCATTGATTTGCCTATGCCTGCAGATTATGTTTTCATAAATTTGTGGTATTGTCCGACTTCTGATGCTTTAAAGGTCCGTGTTTACACCTTTCCTGATTTGTATTTGACGAAAACATGTTGTGTTTTAAGAACAGTATTTGACCAGTTTGTTTTTCACAACATTATAACAATGACAATTTTATAAATACTTCACAACTTGTCTTAGCCTTATTTCTATATTCAAGTAGTTGACACATGTATATTCGCATATATTTCAGGTGGATGTGCACATATGTCAGACATATATATAGCACATACTTGTACGATATATTGAGGAAATTTATTAAACAAGATCTTATCCTTCCTTGTACTTGCAATTTAGTACCTGCTGAATCTATTTATTTGAAACTTTGAAAATGACAACAAAAATAACTCCAATGAAATTAGTTCTTATCTGCTTCTTAAGGACTGGATCTATTTGGAGTCAATCCATGTGTAAAGGGTAAGAAATTATTCATTTCTAAAATATATGATTTCCAAATTTGAAGGAGAAAGGAAAAGTAATAGTGTACATTTTTAAGGACTCTTTTGTCCATTTTGATAAAAGTGCTATAATTTTTTCTGCAGCTTTCCTGGTGGTTGTTGTCCTGGTTATCAATGGAATAACAATACAAAAAAGTGTACAGGTTAATTTTCAAGCAAAGAAACATTTTTTTTTCTTGTATGAGAATTGTATTCAATGATGATATGATGTACATAGAGCTTTTTTCTTTTACTGAAATTGTTTACTTTCTTAAGATGTGTATTCATAACGGATATAAGATATTAAGACTAGATATATTTGGAGTCAGCTCATTTGTAAAGGGTAAGAATTTATTTATTTCTTAAATACATGATTTCCAAAATTGAAGAAAAAAATGAAAAGTAATAGAATATATTTTCTAAACTAAGGATTTTTTGTCGATTTTGATGAAAATGTTATAATTTTTTTCTGCAGCTTTCCTGATAGTTGTTGTCCTGGTTTTCAATGGAATAACAATACAGAAAACTGTACAGGTTAATTTTCAAGAAAAACAGCAATTTCTTCTTGCATGAGCATTTTTTTTTCAATGAGAATATGATGTACGTATATAGAGATTTTTCTTCAACTGAAATTGTTAATTTTCTTTAGAAGATGAAAATTCACAAAGGAAAAGTATTTTTGTAAATGTTTCAATGTGCAAAAATCGTCCTTATTAAAGCAGCGTGTACCTTCTTAAACATAACTTTAGCAATTTAAAACATATTTCTATAGCATGTGAATCCAGGTTCTCGGGAATAAGATGCTCGAGAAAGTGTGTGTATCCAAGTTATGGATTGAAGTGTGAACAGTTGTGTGCTTGTTCCAATGATATATGTAATTTTATATCAGGCTGTAATGAAAGTTCAACAGTAAAGGCGTACACAAAAGAAGGAAGCGTCCGTTGTAAGTACAAAGAACCTTATTTTTAAAAACAATAAAGAGAAAGGTACATTCTTAAATTTATATACTTTTTGAAAAGGTGGTGGTAACAAGATCCGACTTATATATTACTAACGACAATATTGTTTTTTTTTTAAATCTCTTGCACCATTAACGTTATTCGTATTTTTAACCATAAAGTCGCTACCAGCTTGGCACAGGGTACATGAAAGAACGTCTGTTCCAAAGTAATGGAGAAAGGAGCTAATTCTAAAGTTGCAGGTTTAAAATCCACTGCGGGACATAGTGACCGGTCTTTTATTTGATATCGTCTAAATCAGATCTCGTTTAGCAGTGGTCAAAGGTCCGAGTATTTTTTATAAATTAAGGCCTTCAATGAAAAGTGGTGGCGTCTCAATATAAGTGTAAAAATCTAGAGGGTGATATAGGTAAACAAAACAACAACAACAATAAATATTTCACATGAATATAAAGAAAACATAATGGCGCTGGTACATGTAAGTAATTTATCGGTACGAGTTGTAAAAAGAATATGTATCGAAAAAGAACTTTAAATGATTGAACAATGGATTATCTTAATGGCACAGGAATTTGGTAGGAATATATGAAGGCGAAGTAAAGGAGTAGAAAATGCAATTACCGAAATAAAACGTATTGATTCTGTTTCCACTTCTTTGAGTCCCAAGTAATCTCGTGGAATTCGATTACCGACCCTTTTTTGGCTAAAATACAAGTATTTATCGTCTAAACCTTTTTTTTGAAAGAACATACGATTTATTATATAATCATTATAAATCTAAATAATAGTTTGACATATTGCTTCTTTAGACAAATTGGAAAAATTAGGAAAAAAAATACTGTAAACGTACAACATATAGCGGTGTATTCTATCTAGCAATTTTGGCGGAAAGCAGAGTCCGCTGAATCAAGTACATCGCCAAATGTCTTATGTATCATACATTTATATGATGCATATTCAGCTAGCGCTAAATCAAATCTACGCTAACTTGCTGAATGAATTTCCACCAAATATCATATACGCCAAATATACTACATTTACAGTATTTTTATTTAAATGCATTTTAGAGGCAGGTTGTTGAATGTTAATATTTTCTACAGAACGTTATGAAATTTTAAGATTTAAGCTGCCACAAAGTTGTAAATCCTGTAACTCTGAGAGAAGCGTTTTGGTTGGGTTTATGTATACATATCCTAAAAAGTTTAATAACAAATGAGATGCATTTACTTTGCTTTAAATAATAATAATAATAATAATGACAAATATTATTCTTATATAGCCATAGGCTAAACTACAACAAAAGAAATTTATTTCACCCATTTTCTTTCGTTAATTAATTTAATATTTTTAATATTCCATCCATTGCACGAGAAATTACCAACATTTCTTACAAATCCCAATTATTCCTTTGCTTCAACGTAACCTTAGGTAGATAACGCTGACCCAGAGTTCTCTTTCCTCTCTTACATATAGCAGCAATTACAACTACATCATTCCTATTTTTGTATACTCTTCAAAAAAAGAAACGCATAATAGTAACAATGCCCTGAAAAATGTATGATAGTTTTGTCTTACCTTTTCTTTTAATTGGATATGATGTATTCGAGTGAAATGCGTGATTTTTTAGTGCAATTGTTAACTTTATAGCTATTCTACAAGTCTCAAAGACAAAAAAACCTGATTTTGCAAAATTTTATCTGAACAATGACGCCTCCTAAAAATGCTGCATCTGAATGTCGCATAACACAAAAAGGAAAATGGCAGACTGGAAGCAGAGGCACCGAAATCTACAATAATTATTGCAAGAAATTTTAATGTTACGTACAGCGCCATATCTAATCTATAAAACATAAATCATTAACATCTAACACGTAATGTTCGCAAAAAAAATATGGTAGACTACATATGACATCAGCAGCACAGCATCACTTCAGAGGATTACGTAAATTGTATGAATGTAATGTAATGACGTCATCTAAAGCATTAGCTATCCCTGAACTTCACAGATCATATAAAAAGACCATTTTCAGTTGACTGCGAATTATTGCAAGAGGATTATTCATGCCATTGTTGATCCCATAACACCCCAAATATCGATTTCAGATATCTCAGATCAATAGAGTATGACCACAGAGTCACTGCTGAACATTTTGGTTTAGCTACTTGTCCAGAATGTTTATCTGAAAGCCTCTTATAAATTTAAAAGTGCCATTGCCTTGTAATAAATGTTAAAACAGTTGGTGGTGGTAGTGTAATGATGTGGAAAACGGTACTATAAGAAAGTAAGATTGATTTGGTACGAATTCAATGGACTTTGATGGAAAAGGGTGCTCTAACCATGTTCTACCTACTCATGTCCATTTAACTTTGCAGCACCCTACATCCGTATTGCAGTCTCACAATACACAGCTACATACGGCTCGTTTACCACTCCAGTTCTTGCAAAGCAACAGCAACTTGTTTCTATCACAGTCATCTAAATCAGTAGATTTAATTCAAATTAAGCAGCATTGCACAAAAAGGATGGACAGGATTTGCCAAAGACAATCACATCCCCAGACTTTTCAACAGCTGACCAAAGTTCTACATTTGGAGTGGTAGAGTATTCCTATACAGTTTTTATTACGCATGTTTGCTTCAATTAGATGCCGTTTGTGACTATCATAGGTGTCTACAGGGGGCATACCATTTATTAATCTTTAATGGTCTTAAACTGACAATAATTTTAAAATTGTTGTGTAATTATGACATTTAAATGGTATTCCTGTTCCTGTTTCATCAATGCATCAATTTACTAAATAATCTTTATGTACAATGTGTTAATAAAATTCTACTATGCGTTTTTTATTTGTTTTTTTTTTTTTTTTTTTTTTGAAGAGTATATTTCAGGATAAATTATTTTTTTTATATGAATGAGGTCAAACCTCTATTTTGATTTTTAATAACCATGCTCAAGTCCTTGTACAATTAGGGACTAAATCATACTTCAATCAAACAATTTCTGGAAGAAATTATTGAACTTGAATGATCATTGACTTTAAACATTGTGTTATCGTAGACGTACAGTGGCTGGAAGGTTATTGTTGACAACGTATACGAACGATCACGTTACACGAACGATTCCGCACGATAAACGCACGATTAAACCTGTTACACGAACGATCTTTCACGTTCACGATTGTACACGTGACACGATCTTACACGATTGCTGACGCAAACGCACGATTCTTCACCCAAAATAGTTCAAAATATTTAGGAATCTGATATTTTCAAAACGAAATACGGCTTAATACTTATTTAAGATTTCAAAGAATTATCAATATTATTTCATAGACTTTGAAGAAAAAAAAACGGAAAATGATATTTCTGTAACTAAATATATGCAAGACTTAATATTTTAGATATAAAATAATTATTTCTAAGGTAATTCTCTGAAAAAAAAAAAAAAACAGATTTTGTTCGTTCTATTAGACAATGTACATGTATGTGGGTCGTATAATTTGATTGAATTGGATATCATGATATGCAGAAAGGGGGATACGATTGAACAAAAATGGCAGCATGGAATGACTTAAATTATAATATTACAAATTTTATCCTTATGTTTCCAATGATTCAATGTCTGATAAACTTGCCAATTATTCAACTTTTTTATTTGCAGAAATTTAAAATTAATTAATTACAAATAGGCTCAAGAGATAAACACAGATAATCAAAACTCCCGAAAATCATGCCGTGTCCATGTATATTTGTCGACTAACTAGTTATGTATGCATTGCAAAATGTTTATTTTTTTCTAAAAAAAAATATATTTATTTTCAATGAATTGATTTCAAGATTATCTTGACCACAATAAGAAGTAAATAATAATTAAAATCAGATTTTTCAAAAAGGCGTTAAAGATCTAAGTACGGTTTATAACAATATTGATTGCGCTATTTGACGAGAACTTAATATTGTACGAATTACTATATTGCTTGTTTACGGGCGATAATTAGTTCGTTCTGCATTCTATTATGTAAGTTGCGCTTTTTCATTTTATTTGGATTTTAATTAATAAAATTAGAAAAACAAACAAGGGAAATGCTTATATTACAAATAACATTCCGATAAAAACTTACAAAACGAAATTTACACAATTCTAAACGCACGATCTCGCACAATTAAAAACGCAGACGATTGAGTCTGATACACGAACGATCTCGCACGTTACACGAACGATCATTCACGATACACGAACGATTCTACACGATTGGTTTGTCAACAACAACGTTCCGACCACTGTAACAACGAACCAATAAACATTGAAATTTTAATTTATTACCCGGACGATCCTTTGCATTTTAATCAAACGTCAACTAAGAGAGAGAGAGAGAAAGAGAGAGAGAGAGAGAGGAGATGACATTCGCCATTGCCTGTAATAAGAGACTGTAAAGTTTGTTTTTTTTTTGTTTCAAAGGAGTAAATAGATAAATAAAGAGGATTCGGCGCATGATAGAAAAAATATATATGTTACACTTTTAATCTATAACCAACACTGCATAGCACATTCGAAAATCATATAACTGGAACAAAACTCTCGCAGAAAAATACCTTGTCATCCTACAGCTCTGCCATGTCACACGTTTAAATAATTAATTTATCTTTTCTATTAATATTGTATAGTAACATGTATCCTAATAATACCCCCCGCTTGAAAAGCGGGAGGGTATATAGTAATCGTTAATTCCGTCCGTCTGTACATCTGTCCGTCCCTCCGTAGTCCGTCCTTACGTCCGTCTGTTACGCTTTGGGATACCCATCTCTTATCTGCAACTCCTCTCATACCACTGAATGAAATTTGATGAAACTTTCACAGAATCTTTATTACATACTGCAATTTTGGACCTTCTTGTTTACTTTTTGATCCGACACATATTTTGGGTTTCCCGGTCACAGCAAAACATGGACTTTGCAATTATATTAACTATATGGAGGCGGAGGGTATCATTTAGTGAGCTCATCGCTCACAGAAACTCTAGTTTATTTTGATATAAATGTCAGAGTTGATATTTAATTATATACTCTGTTAATAATTCATATTTGATTAGCTAATCAAACGTAGCGCTGTTTGTGTGAATGAGTGCCATGTGTGAATGTTTTGTTTGTCACGTGATGTTTCTATGTTTAGCTTCCCAAACGACCAGGTATACGAGTACGACCAGTGTAACAATGACAGACATCTATCTGATAATTAATATGCATGTATACTAACTTCGTGCACTATATAAGCGCTTATCCCACCAAATAAGATATCCATTAGCTTTTACCTACACGGTTAATGAGGTCCAACCATTTATGAAGCCAACTAGTTATACGATGCCTTGATCACTATTATAATAATATTCATTATTTTATGATACTGGATAACTGGTTTCTTTTTTGTTATCCACAATAAAACATCATAACCGAATCCAGCGTTTTTCTGAAACGATTGACCCTGTGACATAGAGGCTTCTATTTCGAAGGTATATTCTCTGAAAGGTTACTTGTTATCAGTATCATTGTAACAATGTTCTTGTCGGGAATTTTTTTTACAGTTGTGATAACCGATGTTCGATGTGTGAATGGCAATGGAAATTCCTCTGATAATTAATATTGATAAAAAAGTTGGAGAGATTCCAGTAGGAAGGGTATGAAATGAGACACAAATTTTATCATGTTAAACTGACATCTTAAATTAAACGAAAACATCATATCGAAAATTTCTAGGCGACAAATATTGCATGTTGTAGACATGGACACTTGTGATAGCTTACACTCAATTGTTGTTGAAAAAGCTATGACCTTTAATGAACGCGTAATGACTGAATTGTTTATGGCATATTGTATACATTGATATTCTCAGGCGATTTTGCAATTTAGCATAATAGCTTAATAAAACACATTAAATATGAAAAAACGCAGTACTGTTAAGGTGTCCCATATATAGCTTTAAATGCGTTTAAAACGTATCACTGCATTGTAAGGTCGATTTTAAGTTTTAATTTTAAGTTATGTACCTAAATACGGCGAATTTATATAGAGAGTTCCCTAGCCTACATATAAACATATTTGTTACGATATCATATAACCTCGTTGATCACGTGACGGTAATTCTTACCTTTTTAGAATGCTTCACATATTATATAGCATCGGCGCAGCGCTATAAATCAATTATTTATAACTTTTTGTCATGTAAATAAACTCATTGCATCCTTGAGAACCCGAAATATGCTTGGGAAAAGTTATACTATTACTCTGTTACAAAATATTTTACATTAACCTCAACTTATCGACATATCTAAGGATATGTTCCGCTCAATATCGTTTTAAAACAAACTCATCATACATTTTTCCCAAGCAAGATTCAGATAGAGGGGAGACTCTTCTTACAGATTTTAACAAAACATCTCAAATTAATCCTCAATAATGACCTGCGCCAGACTCTTTTATGCACATTTTATGAGTTCTGCCTCTATCCACTAGTATAAAAAAAGGTATATTTCAAACGTTTATTTTCGTATGTATTTTAAACATTCTGACTGTTGCACAAAAGTAATAAAACAAAGTTATCTGAATTATTCGGATACATTAATATTTAAAAGATATTATTTTAAAATATTTATTTTAAACTACTGTAAAATCACATATTTTCATGGTGTCAAATTTTCGTGGTTTGTAGAAAAACTCTTGGTTCCTGGGGATTTAATTTCGTGGATGAAGAATTGTTGAGCAGTTATGTATGTCACATTTTACATTTCGTGATGGACATGAATTCATGGGTCTCTTTACACCACGAAAACCACGAAAATTAAACCCCCATAAAAATTGTGATTTCACAGTTTATTTCTACATCTTTGTATACAAAGTGAAATACGATGTAAGGTTTATGACACTCTCTCCCTCATTTCGCAGTGACTTGACGTCATTTTCAATTATGACGTCATACATTTGTAGTTCAGAGAAGTGTATGCACAGAGTACACTGTAGTATTCTCTGGGAAGCCTTAACGTACCTGCGAAGTTTTTTAAAAACTTTAGGATGAACGTTAAAAATGAACAAGAAGACAGAATACTTTGAAGCAAATAATTTTATGTAAGAAATGTAAAAAGCCACAGAAGTTGAATTACTTGTTCACATTTTACATTTTATATAAAATGATTAATAATTTTTACTCGCGCATTTATTACTTCCTGCTGATCAATATCCGTGGTATGAAGCCTCAAAAGCTTGTACGTTTGCCCATTTCAGCATTTGGGTTTCTAAGAAAAAAGGTTTACAAAATACATCAAAATGTTCTTTAGATCTTGAAATAAAATAAAACGAAAATAGAATAAAGCCTCTTGGATTTGACAGAGCGAGTGTGTAAGTTTTTTCAAAGTTAATGCAATTTGCAATTGATCATAAATTGCATATCTGGTTCATATCTCTATGTTTGAAATGCAAGGGTATGTTCTACGTATGAACAATTTCTTAATACAAGTTATTGACAAACAAGTTTATGAAACAATAATATGAACAATCTTGTTAAAAGAAATCAATTTGTAAATTTTCAGGCAATACAATGTCCCTGACAGTAAATTAAAACACTTATTAAGTCAAGTACTAACTTAAGTTTTTCATACGTTTTGGCCATTTTTTTACTTTTGAGTGTCGATGGATTTTCCTGTGCCTGACAATTATATTCTTACTCCCAAAAGCACTATCACACCTCTGGTGTTTTAGAGGTCAGTGTTTGCTTCTTTCTTTTCAGGGTTTCTTTCAGATGACTTCATGGAATCGGAAGGATTAGAAAGTTGAGTTGTATTTTCTTTTTGTTTTTAATTAAACGCTATTAGAAACTCCACTAGTCGGGGGTTGTTGTAAAAATGTGTTAACTAAGAGTATCTGTTTTAGATTTTAAATTGAAAAGTAGTTGTTTTTTTTCTAAGAATAGTTTGTTAACAATTTGTTTTCTTTAATGCTTTTAAGGAATGACTCTAATTCTTGGCCAAATTATTGAGTATAATCTGGTTTGGGTAAGTTTACGAAGCGGATTAAAAAAAAGCGTAAACTGAAGCGGATTATAAAAAAGTGTAAACTGACCCAAACCAGATTATACTCGATAAATTGGCCAAGAATTAGAATCATTCCTTATTACTTACTTTTAAAATAATTAAACAACTTTGAATGTAAAATTATGTTGCTTTTTATGAGTTCAAATTTACCGCGCAATGATACAACGTTACCGTAGTAATGGAAGGGATGAGAAGCGAGTAGGTAATAACTAATACATTGATCTAGCAGCTATGATGTTTGTTTACATGAGGTAAGATTGACTTACTGTTTGAAGTTAAAGTACGTTTATTAAATATTGAATTTTCCATGGATTCCGAGCATCGGAAATGAGAGGATTGTATGGATAAGATGATACATATAAAGCTGGTCGCCAAGGGGGTGTGTCTCCATACAAAACCAGATTTTACGAAAAAAGATTGCGTTCCTTTTTGGAAATCAACCAGTGAGAGGCGAGAATACAAAAAAAAAATAAAATTATTACAAATCAAAAGCACGTTTCCTTAATTCTATATAGTTAGCACAATCATGTATTCGTATGTATTTTAGATTGATGTACGTATAGAGCACAAATATAGCACCTACTTGTACGATATATTGAGGAAATTCATGAATAAAAATATTCTCATTCTTCCTTGTTCTTGCAATAAAGTATTTGCTTATTCTATTTAATCGATTTTTTAAGAATGACAACAAAAATAACTCCAATGAAATTATTTCTTATCTGCTTCTTAAAGACTGGATCTATTTGGAGTCAGTCCATGTGTAAAGGGTAAGATATTATTCATTTCATCCATAAAAGATTTCCAAACGTTAGGGAATAAAGGAAAATAATTGTATACATTCTTAACTCAAAGGATTTTTTTGTCCATATCGATAAAAATGCTATAATTTTTTTTTTCTGCAGCTTTCCGGGTGGTTGTTGTCCTGGTTATCAATGGAATAACAATATAGAAAACTGTACAGGTTAATTTTCAAGCAAGGAAGCAGTTTCTTTTTGCATGCCTAATGTTTTCAAGCTTAACATGATGTCTATAAAGCTTTTTTCTACTAAAAATGTTAATTTTCATAAGCTGCTGCGAATTCATAACGGAGAAAATATTTTTTTTAATGTCTCAATATACTTTAATTGCCCTGATACAGCAGCTCGTATCTTCTTAAATATAATTTTGGCAATTTAAAACATACTTCTGTAGTATGTGAAGCCGGTTTCTCGGGAATCAACTGCACGAAAAAGTGTGTGTATCCTAGTTATGGATTGAGGTGTCAAGATGTGTGTAATTGTTCCAATGATACCTGTGATTTTATATCAGGCTGTAATGAAAGCTCAACCTTGACATTACAAACAATAAGCAGTATTGACCGTAAGTACTGAATTTATTATTTTACTTATTATGTTGATCTAAACATGTTTAAGTTATTGATAAGTTACAAAAACCAAATTGAATTGAGTCTGTTCAAAAATAATATAATGTAAACTGGTGAAGAGCTGAGGAATGAGTAAATTAAATTTGAGAATTTTGCCAAAATCTACATGTATCTCAACATAAAAAAAGAGAGAAATAGTTAAAGAATACGGGTTTTTGTGAACCTTAAGAGATAGCCACCTTATTCTTTTTGTGATCATACCAGTCCATTAGTCTACAAGGTAAGTTATTTTACAACACACGTAAGAAAAAAAAAACATCTCCTTAATGACAAATTAAATTTGGTGGAAAAGTGTTAAGGAAATCGACGACAATATTGAAAAAAATGTGTTTTTTCTACATGTATATGTAACTTGATTTTAACATTCTGAATCCCGTTCCTTATGAGATATACTCAGTAAATAAGCATTGTTAAATTATAGTGAGGGGAAAATTTCAAATTAAAGGACAAACAAAATGATGATAAGTTGAAGTACTCTTAAGAATGGTTGGTGCTGGTTTTAATGTTTGTTAATGTTTTTTTTTATTTTTACTGGCGACTCTTTCAGATAAACATACAATATTTCATATAATAATAAATATTCAGTAAAAAAGTGGCTCTTTACCAACTTAACTGCTCATCTGATAGAACGAATTCAGCTGGGCTCACTTTTCAGTTACGATTAAAATGGATATAATAATATTCCAAAGTCAAAAACTCTTTATATCTTCCTTCTATAGCTATTAATTTGTACGTAAATTCTTTACAGATCTCAACATTACAAATCAAACCCAGTATGCAGGTGACTTCACGACAGTCCTTGCAAACAAGGAGAGCCGAATGCCATCCCATATGTCGCTAATTGTGCTTAGTCTTTCATTGTGTGTCATCATTGCCTTGGCAGTTTATGGAAGCTTAAAGGCGAAGAAAAAGTTAAAACGATTGAAAAAAGCAACAATCGACCAAGTTATCGAGCAGGACACTTATCAGACAATAGAGGATAAGAATCTTAGTACGAGAAAAAGTCTAGAAATGGTGAAAATTTGGTAGAATTCACAAACATTATATATTTACTTTAAAGACAGGACTCTTTTTGTATTTTTATCATTTTTCTTCTTTTCGAGAGCTACCCTACAGGTCTTTTTATGATTTATATTTATGCTTAATGCTAGATATACGATATCAAAATATCAGAAGGAGTAATTTCAAAATGTGCATACTTAGCAGTATTTACCCTTATCTGTCTTTTCTTAATAGACTTTCAGACTTTGTCCTTTTGAGCAATGGACCCCAATATAATTGCATCTGAAATAATGAAATTATGCATGAGGTGTGATTTATAATTTTTTAGCATAACGTTTGTGGTTTTTGAATATGTTCCTACTTTATTTTTTCAGAACCTTGTGTAAATGTATTCCTTGATGGTAAATTCCTTAATGTTATTTAACTTGTAGAAAAATCGTCTTTATATTGCATACTAAAGAGTTGTTATTCTGTGGGATTTTTATGGAAATTGAGTGATCTGTCCTGGGATCTAAATTGAATGCTTCTTTATACACCTATTATAAAACCTGTTATCAAAATATGCACTGTTAACATTTTTAAAGATGGATATAATTAATTATCTAGAGTGTGTGTTCTCCACTGAAATATACAACAGTAATGTGTGTTCATTAATGGGTGTTTTTTTTTTTTTAAAAAGGGTGCCACTATCATATATTGAGGATGAAGTAAGTAAATTCAATATTCAGGCCTTCTTGGGGAAAAAATCCATAGTTTCTTATTTATTGCGTACATCTGAACAGAGACATATGATAAATCATGCATCTGAAGTTCATTATTTGTTGAACTGCGTTTATTGCTTATTATAATTGTACTAGTTCATTTATGGAATAAACCAACCGCAGGATCGAAAAATAAATTGAAATGCATTTCTTTAGTGTTGCATATCCATTAACTGATATATACTAAGATCTGTTTAAAAAATGAGATAAAACTTAAAGATAGATTTTCTGAAGTATTAAAAGGAAGTTAAAAGAACAAACTTCATCTAATTCCATGGATATTACCACATCCATTTACACAATAGAATAATCCTGGGAAAAGGCGCAAGGGTAGCTTACTAGTGACATTTAGCTCGAAAAGAGCAATTCACCCCTTGCGTAGAATATTAATGGACTGGTCCAGTAGTACTGAAATGTAGAAAAAAAAAGATACATGGACATGTTGAAATGGTGAATTATACTGAATAATCTGTTCCATGCAAAGAGACTACAGGAAGTAAACACTGCATTATTTTACATTAGTAAATATTAATTTTTTTTCTGAAAAAATTTTTTTAAGTGCAAGGAAAGAATTTAAGTGTTGATCAGTTTGCACAAAATCCAGCTTTCTAGGTTTGATCATATAGTTTCTGATTATGGAAATATTAATCCTTATACAGCCTGACGCCGTGATGGCAGGCAATAAACTGATCTAACGAAACTTTACATTTATATCTTGATTTGTGTACTAGGAAGGATAAAATTAATTGTGATAATTAATTTTTTTTTATTCGTCTCAAATAATGAAATAATGAACATGTTCAACATTTCTACGAATAGTATATCTTACAAATTATAAAATGCAAACTGTTAGTTCTCGAACGCATTTTGTATCTAATACTTTAAAGAACAAATTTAGTTGTAACAAGAGGTAGAACATGTTCAGGTTAACTACAATTTCACTTAAAATTACCTTTAGATGTTTACTTTACGTATAATATTATCTAGGATATTTTGAAGTATGCATAGTACGTAACTTTCTGAAAGTTTAATCCTTGAACGATTTCTAATAAAAAGTATCTCAACAACGGGGAACAGCTGATTAATGTACACATCAAGAAAATATTTTCCTTGTTGAGATTTTACACATCATCGTGACTTACATATTTAGCTTTATTTTACTCTAATGCGACGGAAAGGTGTAGTTTTCACCAAGAATAAACACAACCGCAAACTTCCAAACTTTATTAGGAAAAGACTAAACCATTATCGAATTAATTTTTATCTAAAATACATATATTGTCTCTTAAAATAAAAAATTATCAATATTACCCTAGTAAAATCAAATAAATGAAATATGTTTTTTTTCAAACGAATGTCATTATAAATAAATTGGAATCAATTTCATGTGTTTCTGTAAGACCAGACAAGTAACTCTTATCTTATTAACGCAACAGTGAATCACCTTACATTGAAATAGATTAATTGATTGAATGTTTATTGTTTAACGTCCCTCGCAAGAATTTTTCACTCAAATAGAGACATCACCACTCGCCGGTGGAGAGCTGTAAATATTTGTCCTATACTAGGCACTCAGGGCCTTTGAGAAGAGAGGGATCTTTTTCGTGCCAGCACCTACTGTGACACGGCACCTCGGTTTATACGGTCTCATCCTAAGGACCGGTCTCCACGTCCCACTATGGAATTCAAACCCAGGACGTAAGGATTGACTCCTTACTTCGCGACTCTAGAGCAGACGCTCTAATCACTGCGCCACGCGGGCGACACATTGAAATAGAATACGAAAGCTCAATTTCCTAAAGTGCATAGTTCATATAATTATTTATAGAATACGACTATTAAGTATATGCTTTTAGTTCAGGACATAAATTTAAATATGCAGATGATGAAATTTATTTGATTGACTGAAGGGCTTTTAAGGCAGTATTATTTCGTGAATAGTCGAAAATGAAGCGTGTTTAGATTTAAAAGCAATTTTTTAACTGAATAAAAAAACGCAACAATTACAATTTACCGGCTGAAAAGTTAAATTATTTTTTATAATATTGATTTTAAAAACGATTTTTCATTTGATTGGTAGATAACGTCATTAACGTGCGTTCTATACAATAGGATAACGTAAAACAATTAAAGAAGGATTAAAGAAATATTAGAAAAGAAAAAAATGATAAATATATGCTTTTGGAATTAAAAACAGAAATTCGAGAGTCTCTCCACTGTTTTAACTACTTTTTGTATCATTCCTTCGTGTCCTTCCTGTTGTACAAAAAAAACTTGGAAACATTGTTAATTTGTGGTATTTTGAGATACCCCCTCTTGAGATAAAGAGGCGAATATGATAACATTAAAGCAGCACAGTGAGTAAAAATCATATCTAAATTTTAAGATATCTGTAGCATACAGAGAAAGACTTACGAAAATTATGAGTATATGGCGAAGAGATGACAATTAAACTGCAAGAATTGACTGCACAATATAAGTGCCGGAAAAACAAAGGTTGTATCTACCGTTTCGTTGTTTCGTATATGTCTGGGTCACGCTACTCTTATTTTTACCTCAAACTTACCTCAAACAAAATTCAACTGGAGTGTGCAAAGGTGAGAAATATGTTCTAACAACTTTTTAAAAAGATTACATCAAATTTTTTGGTCTACTTATATTCATTCGTGGATACCTGAGACCATGGTTACTATGGAAAGTTATTCAACACTTTTCTGCGCACGCGTAAAATAGGGAGGAAGAAGTACCAGGGTATTTTGCAATATTTTCGTTCTGGGGCAGACAGAAATTATTTTTACTTTTATTTTTCCCCATAAAATTTAAATTTTTAGGTTCTGAAACCTGTAATTTTCTGAAACTTAATACTTTAAGGAATTGAACAAAATTTACAGAGGTCTTGCGAAAATTCTACATTTGTCAACTTTCCCCTTTGTGCCTTACTGTGCCACTTTAAAAAAAATCATGTAAATAGCTGTTTTAATGCATAATTCTGATGCTGAAATTTCCTAAACATTTGCTATTTATGAGATACAATTGTCAATATCACTGTAACTATTTTATATGAGAAGTAAAAAAAAAAAAATTTTAATACTTGATTAAAAAAGAAATGAGAAGGAGTTTTTACCTTTTATTAAATTTCTCATAAAATGAATAATTGATTAAAAATCGAAAATACATATACTTAAATTTTTTTTACCTATAACAACACATGCATTTATCATTAGATTTGTTTAAAAGCATTCTTCCAAAACATACCTCAGTCGCGCAGCTAGGATAAGGCTGCCCGTAAAATATCGAACTGTTCAAACTGTAGTAACTTCTCTGAACTACCTAGATCTGACGTCATAATAGAATATGACGTCAAGTAACTGCATACTTGAGCTGACATGACGGGGAAAGTGTCATAATTATTATACGGCATGTAGATCTATTATGGGGATTTGTGTTTAATTCAAGAGTAAGGTTTGTTTTTTAAGCTTGTGTGTGCTGTTATAATGTTTAACATTTGATATTTAAATATCTCTTTTCCTTTTGTTTGTCCGATATGCATATATTCAAGCAATTATGTTTGAAACGCTCCCCTTACACTTCCGTAGACAGAGTTAGAATTTATGAATCGTGTTTATATTGGACTGGCACAAGTGAAAGACGAGGATAAATTGAAGTTATTTTGCGTGAATCTAAAAGAGAAGTATGTCTTCTAACTGAACTTTGCTGGGGGATCGTATGTATTTTATCCGCTTTTGTATAAATCGCGATGAGTGGAAAATACCCCTTCTTACGTTGGTAATTTTAATTTATCGTAAAATATTTTCTTAAGAAGAAAAAATAAAACCCGCCCCCAGCACTTTTTAAGTACCATGGATCACGATGAATTGATCTACATAACAAACTTTGCACAATAATTGTTTTATGCACTTGTACCGATGCGATTTTGTGCAACATTTAAGAATATCAAAAATGTCCGTCACGTGATCAACACAGTCATCTGACATCACAGAAATGCTTAATTATAACATCTGATTAAACTGTTACCTCAAGTTTACTGCAATTTCCAACAAGGAAAACATATTGAAATTTAAATCTAGCTCAAAATAAAATGTATGTTTTAGGACATTTTAAGCCCTCGGACAGCCTTATCATAACTGCGCGGTAGAGCGCTTGCTCAGTGATGGGTAGGTCGTGAGTTCGAATCTTGGACGCGACTGACCTTAGTCGATAAAATTTGGAAAGCAACTGTTCCTTCGCCATGCGCTCGCTATTTGAAGTGAAAGTTGCGGATCCTTCCTATGAGACCTTAAAAACCGATTCCCGTGTCACGGTAGGCGTTGGAATGGTAAAGAACTCCCACTGCTCAATGGCGCTGAGTGCCATGCAAAGAACAGAATAAGAAGCCCTTCACTGGTATATGGTGAAGTCTCTACATGAGTGAAAAATTCTCGCATGGGACGTAAAACAATATACAATTAATCAATTTATCCCAAGCATTCTACATGTATCAAAAGATATTTCCGCCGAAATATGGCTGAAATATTGCAGACTTGGTGATAATCAACAAAATCAATCAATTCAAAAGATATTGTTCTATTAGACTTTACTAATACATTTTTGCAAAAGCCTATGACATCATACATGGATGGCATTAGCTTAAATTTAACAACTTTTTAATACTAGCATCACTGGACGAAAAGAAACGCAATTTCCTTTGATATCTCCTAAATTCATGTCTAATCTGATATTTCAATTAATGCACTATTTATAAACTGAAGAAGAGACCAATGCTGATATTAGTACATATTTTCTCCAAAGGAAATAAATCAGAAATGCCTTTCAATCAAGATCAATAGCATTCGGTAAAAGTGAAAAAAAGGAAAATTTAAGCCATTTACATTTTGCATGTTTGCAACTATTGAATGAAAAAGTCATTTAAATAAAAAAAAAAGTCTCTGCCTTCAAAGGAACTGTCTTACACAATTTACAGTAAAAAATTTTTCTATCATTTTTAAAAACAATTTACATTTTCTTCTGAAACTCGGTAATTAAACACTTTTAAGCATTCTTGGGGCAATCAGCATAACATACATTATTTCAGAATGTAAACATGGTAAATATACATAAATTATGAGAGATGTGAACACAAATCTTTTGATTTACCCGGTGGATAAAAGGTCACAAAAAATCAGTTTTGACTACATCCATAACAAACTTAATCAAAAATTGAAAAACTACTTCGCATTTGTCGAAATTTCAGAACAACAATGATTTCTTATAGTTCCAATATATTTTTCCTATGTACAAAATATTCTACATCAGTATTTCAATTCTGTTAATTATTATTGAAATTGAAATATGAACAAACACATGAAATAAATTGTCGGTATCAGATTTTTTGTATGTCGATTTTTGGCAATTTATCTTATAATCTAGTAAAAAACATCACATCACAAGAGGCTTGTTTCCAACAACTTAAACAAGAAAGCATCTAAAATAGCACAACTATTTTAGACACAGCGCAGGAAATTATATCGTTGAAAAAAATTTCCTTAACAGGCTGAATCGTCCTCCGGGTAATGCTTTCTTATGGCCTTTATGGTCAAGTTAACTTTATCAATCTGCGACTCTAGATTGGCTAGTAGATCCACCATGGATTCTGGAATGGCATTCTGAACGACGTACCCACCTATAATGAGTTTATATATCATTTCTTCTGGATTTTCTTCTAAACTACAGACTTCTAAATGCATGTATTATTAACTCCTTTAAATCAAGCAAAGATAATTAATAATATTCATTCAGATAGTATATAATTGATGAAGCCCATGCAAAACTAGCCTTACTAATCTTAGCCCTTGAAATATTATATTTGGTGCTATATTTACACACCTCCCCTCCCCTTTATTACTCCTACAACTTTAAATAATACACTGAGGTCCCATTGAAACACGTAAGCTTAAGTGAACCATTACTTGCATATAACTCACTACAATCAACACTGGGACACTTTGTTACATGTATCTATGAACTAGGTCATCAAGTAACAAAATTATTTCTTAACTATTAAGGAATGATATTACAGTCTTCATCTTCTAGAAAATAAAAAAAATAACTTAAAATTAAGATTTCTTACAGTTTAATTGAAAAACGGATTATTTTTGATAAATAATTTTACCTAGGGATTGTTTTCTTGCTTCTTTTGATCCTTTCCCACCATCTTCGTCCATTGAAGTATCTGCCAAAAAAGAATAACCATTCTTTTTTTTTTTTAAGTAAATGCACCAAATTTCTGTGTTCATAGATTTATTTCGAATAAAAGAGAATTAATTAATTAACTTCGTGTCTTTATAATATGTAAATGACAATTTAGTTTTATCTTAAAATTTGGACAATTAAAAGTAAATTAAACGAAATAATCCAGGGAATCCTTGTACTCTACCTCAGGAAAGAAAGAGTAGCATGCGCTGACTGGAAGGGGGTGATTTCAGTATAATTGAATGTTTAAACTTTTAAAATAAAAAAAAATGTTAAAATTAAAGTAATTTTTTGCGATTTTAAGATGCTCAATAATGAAGCTAATACAAATTAAACACAGTTTATTTTTAGCCATATTTAATTTTAGCGATCTCAGAATCCTCGTTAAAAATATTGCTTATACGGTATAAAGATTTGATAGCTTATTCGTAGTCAAATAAAGATGTTTGCATTACGTTCTACAAAGTCAAAAGTTTACACAACGAATTTTCTAATCTAGTCTAGCCTTTACTGAATATTTTGATCCAAAGATCAATAGATGTTTTCTATAGCCCAGAGAAATTAGTCATGCGAAATTTAATTGCAAGAGCTCAAAGGCTTTCGGAGATATCGTATGGAAACAAAATTATTACAGACGGACAAAACAGCAGACAGACAACGGAGAGATACCTAGGCAATCTTACAATAATATTGCTTACTTTCGAAGGGGATATATTTCAGAATAATTTGTGGCATTCGTTCTACACGGCTTGAGAGAAAGAAAGACATTACATTGAGTGACCAGGCTTGTAACGGTAAAACATGTATACTGTTTCACGAAACGCAATTTGAGAAAAATAATTTTTTTTCTTTCTAGAGATTTGAGATTGAACTTTATATAAAAATTTGTCATGTAAGTTCTTTTATTTCTCGAGAAACTCAATATATATATATATATATATATATATATATATATATATATATATATATATATATATATATATATATATATATATATATATATATATATATACAAAGCATGGTATTCAATCATAACAGCTTTGCCTTCTAATAATACATAAATCCCGAATTTTATCATGTTTGAAGTGTTATCAGTTTAACATAGAACTTAACATTTTTTGGCTGTTTATTATTTTGTTTTCGAGAATGTTTTATTCGTATTGACAATCCATGACATTTATTACGCATGCATTTATTCAAGGGAAAAGATGATTTCTGCATTTAAAATAAAATATATTAGAAAAACTAGAATTGTAAAAAGATTCTTTTGTAAAATGCTCCATGACAGCAAAGAAAGAAGTGCACTACAAGGATTAAAGCTCGTAGAACGTGCTGGTGAGGAACTTTTACTGCTGTAATGTCGAATTCCAGGATTTTGACTATCATTGATATTTTTTCTATTCTTTTCATTTTGAGATTCTCTATTTTTTGTTTTATGTTTATTACTTTCGTAAAAGTTTTTGGCTTGTCAGATTTTCAGGATTGGGGTCATTTTTTATTCCATCTTCATGGGTAAGGTATATGGTCTCACTCTGCGTTCACTTCTATACAGTGTAAACATACTTTTAAGAAAATCTTATTTATATCTTATTAAAAATTCTAACCTCTTGGAAGGTCAGCAAGAAAGACCATAAGCTGACGAAGAAATCTCAGCGAAACGCGATCTGGCATCATGTAATATAATTTATTCGTTTTATTGATATAATAACATGAGGTTATAATAATAGTAGAATAATGCAATTTTACTAATACATGTAAATCAGAAAATGACAGATATTTCCAAAATACATTAAATTTTACCTAATGATTACAGGAAAAAGTCTATAAATATTACCTATTACCTATATATATTACCCATTCTCCAGTGTAAGAACTGAACTATGCTGCATGTGTTTCAATTGATTTATTATTTTACAGTTAAAGTATAACATTGAGGGAGTGAAAAAGTCTCCAGTTCACCAAGCCTAAGACTATTTCCGGAGGTGTTGTCGACAGAAATAGTTTCATGAACTGCCTTATGCAATGATATACTTTTACGTTTTAGAATATCGATACAAAAGTATTAGAAATAGAGGACTACGGATAATATTAAGCAGCGGAGATTTGTCGGCTTGACTAACACACAGGGATTAGTCCATTAACATATTATACCAAAACAAAGGTAAACTCTAGATGATTACGGAATTATAATTCAAAAGAGGTAAACAATCATTTGATTATCCCGTGGAGATCAGTCTATTGTCGGCGATTTCTTGAGGGTTTTTTTAATTTCAATCTTCACGATGTTTTTCTTTATAAAAAAAATCAACAGATGTATATTTACATTAAGTAGTCATCTCTGGTACGCTTGTTTCTAAATCTCTTTCTTATAAAAGTTACTTACTGACTTTCCAAAAACGAAGCAGATCGTTTTCATGTATAAAATGGTGGCCCTCCGTCTCATGTTGGGGGCAATCGAACTTGCCTTTTCCATCAATGTAGCTTTCCAAAAGAAAACACGATAGTTTTTCTTCAAAAACGTCCTGTTCTGAACACTGATAGCCAACTGTATAAAACTTCTTTTGAGAGCATTCTTTTGTTTTCAGGCATTCTTCTATATGATTTCGTATTATCTGTGTTCTCTTTGGACACAGCGGATTGCCTTCCCTAAATATCTGAGCTTGAATAGTGGTTCGTGTGAGAGTAAGGACAATAATATGATCTTTGAATTTGAAACATGCTAGATTTTTGAAGAGATATTTCAATCCACTATCCTGAACAACAGACCATCTTGGATCTGCCATACAAGCAGCAATCAGCCGATAATAAAAGCAGTGTGGCGACAATTTAAAATTAAAAACCAAAACAGATGTTCTATCGCTCAAAGACGAGATACTTTGTTTTACGTCTTCTCCAAAATCTAGTTTGTTTAAACAAGGGACATAATGAGCCGTGTCACCTACTACTATCAATCCTAGGTGTTGCATATACCTTAAAGTTGATTTTATTTCTTCAACGTCCATCTCCTTTTCCAAAATTCGATTTAAAAAGTCGTATGATATATAACCCCCATCGATTGAGTATTGGCAATTTTCATTGATTTTCATTTCGTCTGGAGCACACTTTGGATTTGTTATCATTTTACTGAAGCTTTCTGCAAAACATTGAACGTTTGGTATAATATGGTCTGTCAGAGGTTCCTTTCTAAAATTCAAAATCGTTCCTATTTCCGTGCAAAAGCGCAACAAATCAAAGATATTTTCTTTGTCAAATTTTCCATTTGAAAGTTGTTCAGAAAATTCTGAAAAAGTAAGAATTTTTCTTTTTCTCACTTTTCTAAGGGCGTTCTCGCAGTAAACCCAAGTATCTGGTATATTTATTTTCCATCGGTCCATCAAGGCAATAGAGGCAAGACATTTTTCGACTCTCAGTAGTGTTGCTTCGTTATCGTCCTCGGTTAATGCAAGGTCCAAAAAGTGATCTCTGTCCAAATGATTCTGAAGCTCGGGTTCAAATTTCAAGCATTCCAGTAAATCATCATAAACTCTCTTGCATTCCTGTTGATTCAATTAAATAAAAAGTATTATATGAACGTCTAGCAAAGAGAAAAAAAACAAATATACTAAACATCCTTTCTATAACGTCTTAGTCTTAACCCAATGGTACAAATAACTGTTTTACTGAATATCTTAAAGTCAATAAATAAAAGCGGCATTAGTTTATTAGTTTGAATAATCCTTCCACCACCACCAACACCATCACAGCAACCGCAAAACTACCACCACACACAAGTAAGAAGTAAACAAAAACAATGGAAAATGTTAATTAATAAGCATCAAACAAAAAGATAAAAAGTAATTTTTGTAGAGAAAAATATTCATGTTTGTCTTTTGCCTTTTTTTTCAATTTAACATTCATGTAGTTCTGAATCTAAATACTTCCTACATTTTGATTTTTTATGCAAAGACGTCAAAGCTAGTAAAACTGAATTCTTTAGAAAGACATCAGCAAACCTGTCTCAATAACCACGACAACAATTTAGGTATTCAACTAAACATTCCTTTTCGTATTCGATGTACACACCATGTTTTAATGAAATTGATCAAATACAAGGATCGTAAAAAGCAACTTTCGCAAAAATAAAGAATTTTTCTTTCCTTTTTCCGCAAAATTTCCAACGCACATCTAACTTGAAGAGTTCATTAATAAATAAAAAGAACGTATTGTGAACTACAAGGCGTAATTGTGTTAATACAATATGTTTTAAATACTGTAAAAACTTAATACTGGTAAAAAAAAAACAAGCAACACAATCTTTCCTCAGAACATTCTTGTTATCCCAAATAATCACTCAAAATCCTAAAGAACAATGTTGTGCCTCACAGCATGTACTATGATGATTTACAATTATAGCTGATCACTCTGAGATATAATGACGTTCAAATGGAGGCGACACAGGCTTTTCTGATAAATCTCTTGTTCACACAATAAGTCTTTCAAAATACTAATGAACTACATGTATTTTAAACATAAGCACACTATCTTCGTATAATTTACTAACATAAGAAATATAACCGAAATGAATCAAAAACCATGAAAGAAGTCGTATTGTGAGAAAAAAAATGTACAGAGAAACATTTTTTTTAAATAAAGTTCATGTAGACATATGTTAAGTCAATCAGATAATACAATGTTCTCTTATCAATTCAGCAAAAGTTTTAAGTTAATTTGTAACTTTAGAAAATTATGTAAAAAAATATATAAGTTCTTTAATCTAAAAATATAAACAAATAATAAAGAGGTTAAGTTACAAGTGACGTAACTACGTGTATGCGTAACTTTGACGTACACGTTATACTTGACATCAACGTCAATAATATGTTTCAGTTATACGTACACGTATATGAATGCAAACTTTCATGATTGGAGAATACAGAAAATTAATTGAACGGCATTATATTTATTATTTTTAATTTAGAGAACTCAAAGGTGGAATTTATACTTAATATTCTAGTCATAATACATGTACAATAAACAATGAAAAATCAGTATATGTATTGTCATCTAACTGCAATGAAGTGCTTTAAATATTTTGAATCCCACTATATCTATACAGGACAAGCTTTTAATTTTCCATCATTTTTAAAATGGAAGCAGTGATAAAGATACTGAATTGACGACCAAAAAACTTCATTTTGCACATTGTGGAGAATGGGGGGGGGGGGGGGCATGACAACAGAAAACTTATTGAAAACGATAAAATAAAAGGGCTCACTCTTTGTATAACGTTTAGAAAGGAGCCATGGAATAATATTTAATGTTATACTTTCATGTAGATTACTTGAATCTGATTCGTCCAGAAACATTTGATAAAAAACACTACTACCCGCTGAATAATGAAGTCACGTCCTCCTGCGGAACAACAGTCAACATTGCTTGACGACGGGTGGTATTATAAAAAATAGCAACTCGGCGGAATTTATGCGCGCACGGTTCACTGTAATATGTATTTGTATAAAACATTCAGTATAATATAATAAATATTGCATGTAGTTGAGTGTAACATTGAAAATTTTCACCCCTCGAAAACCATTGTCAACCTCGGCTGCGCCTCGGATTGACAATGATTTTCTTGGGGTGAAAATTTTCAATGTTACACTCAACTACATGCAATATTTATATAACTACTTAATACATTGCTAAAACCATAATAGAAGATAGACACCGCCCCTTTTTCTACTTTAAAAAAATACGCGTTTGCCCTAGATCTTTGCAAGTGCTAGTATTGAAGGGGAAAAATAGTTAATGAAATACAATCTCCACAAGCACTTGACATTAAACATACTATCTATAACTTATAAGGCGATGGTGTTATATTTTTGTTACGTCACAAGTGCCTTTGGGTGTTATATTTTAGAAAATATTTTATTTGAAGAAAATATATGTATTTAGGGTTCTTAAAATGAATTTAATAAAAAAGGGGAAAAATCACTGCCAAAAATTTTTCATTTGGTGCATAACGGGGTCTTCTTCAAATGAATCCTGCATACGAAATAAACATGCTGCTTGATATCAGTTTAACTTTTCGTTGATAAAAATACATGTACTTTGATGTACTCATCGAATTTACTTAAACATTTTTCAATTAAATAGTGTTCCTGTTTTATAGCATAAAAATCAACCGACTGAATCAGGAAATAAAGAATTTAATCGATAACTTTACATGTTTCTGTCGCACGTTTAGACAGTTGTTACACGATCTAAACTTGAAGCTACTCGTCGGATTTGACGTCATGATTTCGAGGAAGACAACAATTCATGACGTCACCCGTACAAGTTCGTCGCAAAACGTGTAACTAAACCTCTCTAATATATATATATAAACCTTTTCTTTAGTCTGCCCACCATCCTCATTCGTTGCTAATATAACAACAGGAGTGTCAGCATCATTGTATAAGTGGACCAGCTGCAACCAATATTTAATGAAATCTGTGGAAAAATAAAACTGAAGGAAATGACAAAATAGACGTACCGTTGTAAATGTATTTGTTATTTTAATGAATGGTATATTTATATATTTAAGGTGCTGGCACAAAAAAGATCCCTCACTGCTCAATGGCCACGAGTGCAGAGTATAAGACAAAATTTGTAGCTCTCCACCGGTAAGTGGCGGCGTCTCCACGTGAGAGAAAAGTTCTCGAGAGGGACGTTAAACAACATACAATCAATCAATATTTAATATTTTTTATTTGTCCGAATCACTAGTAAGTACAAATGATCGGGAAACATGTTACACATTTATAATACATGCAAAAACATTGAATAAAAGAAGTTGCAGTAAAAAATATTGAAAATTTTTTCTATGAAGGTGGACATTATCCTAAAAGTTTCCCAAACAGAAACTCTCACATTTCTATATCACAAAGGAATCGGACTCTAGGACATGTAAATCATGTAAGTACTGATGTTCCAAGACGTGGCATTAGAGTTTATGGGGCTGTCTATGCAATTTACTTCCCTAGCACACTCTATAACTAAAACAAAATATATACTTGACAGAAGCATTATAATACGTTATACTGGAAGTTAGCAACCAATATCTTTTGTCTAACAATTAATGAAATTTTCATTCCGACGTCTGCAAGTAAAAACTTTAATAATTATATTCAGTCATACATGTGTATGCAGTGTTCAATATTTATCAATAAATGCAAAGCACATAGTATTACATAAAAACAAAAAGATTTATTAAAGTTCATGCTCACTAGTTAATGCGAATATACTCGCATATTAAAATACACAATTTCAATTACTTACAGACAAAGGGATAAACAGGAAGTTGGCATCAAATTCAAGCAAAAATGAATTGCACCATAAAGCATGCCTAAAGAAAGAATATCAGCATCACTGTATTTAGATGAATGTGTTAAAATTCCATGCATATGATATTATGAATAGTTGCTAAAAAAAACTCCGACAAAAGTTTTTTTACGTATTGTACGAATATACACGATGAAAACATATATTTGACATCAAATTCATACAAAATTAAATCCATCCATATGACTTGCATATACAAAAAAATTAATCTAAAATTACAAGTATCTCAGATGAGAAATTGTTGAGAAAACTGTGACAAAACTTATGTATGATACGGACAGATGCACAGAGGAAAAGGATGTTGACATCGGATTCGTACTCAAATGAATCCCATGCATGATGTAATTATCATGCATTAACAAATATTGTGCTAAATTTTCAAGCAGTTGCATGAACAAAAAGACACAAGGGTAGAACGGTATCCCCTACCCTGTCATCAGGGTCCTGAGGATAATAAATATCCGAAGGAAAAGCTACCCAAGATGCATTAGATAAGCTTTCATAACTATTGGTCTAACTATTCCAAGATATCCACGGTACATATGCTGTTTAATAATTTTAATAAATTAATGCAATGTACGGCATATTATAATTTTATTTGGAAGTATTTGATTTAAGTGATTATAGGAGCAAATATCCATGATTTCTTCTATTGTCCTCGGAAAGAAATGCAAGTATGGTCATTACATGAGCTGAAAACTGTTTCTAAATGATTTTTCCAAGAAGATGAAAAAAGACAGTGAGTGAAAGCTGTGCTTTTCACATAAAATTGCGGAAGAAACACATGTAATAATAAAAATATTTTTTATATTTGGAAAAAAGAATTTCTTACATTGTAAAGTTTTCAGATGGATTCAATTATTTAAATTATTATATTATATTATTTTTATCATTCATTCCAAGCCCTCTGATTCGCTCAAACTTGATCACATGATTAAGTATATAATAGCATAAAGATTTGAGTAATTATTTGTAGAATTTGAAATGATATCGACTTGATGTTTCTTAAAATAGAGATTGTAATTTTCTGTAAAACAAAAATAGTACTGATTTTACAATAATAGCTAAAACAGTGTATAACTTGATGTTTCTGACAAGATATATACTTCATTTTGTATAAATATTTTTATGTACTCGATGAGACGTGACAATGCCGTGATTACATTAAAAAATATTGAATATGTTAGTCAAAAATTGATACAAATAAATGTAGTATTTTGAAAAAGTAAATCCTCTAAATTACTCCATCAATATAAAGGAAACACAATTACATTAAACATTACATTACCTTATTTTTATCTCTAGTCTCTAAATGTTAGAGAGAGAAAACGTGGGCCTTGTTCCCATTATTTTCAAATTGTATTTTGTTAAACTATGTAAAGAATAATAAAAACAAATATACCCCTGTAATTCGGTCGATCCATAGATATATGGACTTCACAGAAAAGCATATCGACTTCGCACTTCGTGCTCGGTCGATATACTTTTCTGTGAAGTCCATACATATCTATGGATTGACCTCACCAAAGGGCTATATTTATATAATTTAGAAGAATGAAAATATACATGTGACTTTTGATATATAGGGAAATCAAATAATATCAATGCTGTACGTGTGCCACATGATATCTGTATATGCTTGATTGACACTGAAAAACATTGTTGATGAAGAAGGAAAAGATTACCTCCATATATCCATCCATAAAACATTGCTCCTTCCTGATCACAAAAAGTACAATCGACTTTTTCATAAAACGATTTAGACGAGTTGATCACAAGAACATAAAATGCTCTTCTGCTGAGAAAATTATGATGACATGTGTAATATGCATCATTGCCACCAAAATCCCAAACATTCAGAAGTACTTTATTTTTTGCTTCCGCTTTTTCTGAAAAAGCTTTAAAAAAAATCACAAGATTGAAAAGTAACGAAAAACGTGAAGATATCAAAGAGTTAGAATGTAAGAACAAGAATATAGATTTTAAAAATACTGTCATAAGAAATTGCATGCCTTCATGTAAATTGTTCTCTATGAATATGATTACTTTGATATAGACCCGAAATACATTCGAAAAAGTCCTTCTGACACTAAAGCAATGTAGCAAAAAATTTATAGGTCAATATGCATATCAAAAAGACACTTCTAGGCTTATCCTACATGTAAGTACATGTGCATCTGTACCATTAGGCTAGTTTGAAACATGTAAGTGACATTCAGAAAACCAAAATTTTTGTAAAAATAATTCATTTTGTCCCCATTTCATGACAAAAAATTATCATACATGTTGTTAACTTGGTTTACGACTGTTCACTGTAGTTTACGTCAGTAAATACTTTGATTTGCTTTTATATGACTTCTATTTTTATCTTCTTCTTCTGTTACTCAGAACATTTTTAAAACTTTTTTGACCGCTTTTAATTCTGATATTACATATCTCGAATGTCTTATTTATGCCATGTAAACAATTAAGAATCTCTTTTAATACAAGAAACTGTCTTTTTGTAAAAATTTAAAACAGATGAAGTTAATTTTAGAAAAAAAAATTTGATTTGCGATATTTAAAACTTTGAAATATAATACATGTATATAATTTATATATAATTTTTTATATTCTATATTTCTGTATGTGTACATAATTTGGCGTATAGTAAATCACTAAATTTTCGTAACACCTCATTTTTGCGAAATATTCCTTGGTTCTTAATTAGCGAGACAAAATTTCTATGAATTCTGGTTATTGTTTTATATAATCTTGAGAAATGGTATTATACGCGAGAATTCATTTTCGCGAGCAAACTGTAATTACGCAAAAATAAATTTCCTGCTAATAAAGTGATTTACAGTATTCAAAATTTAGCGCAGTGGGTATGGAGTTGTTAGCGTTATCATGAATTAGCGCTACTTATGTCTGTGCATTCAGTGTTTTGTATAATTAATTAAATGATTTCTTAGCAGTATTCATAAATTAGGGCATCGTTGTCTGCGTCAAAGCCTCTAAAATATGAAGCCCGCATTTTTACGTACACATAAAGTTTTATGTACGTTAGAAGTCCCTAATTTTAAAAAGCAATGTTAAGGGTCATTGATACTCTCACTGATAAGAATGTAACTCTTAATGACATAAAATTCTATTATTCCTTTATAGATTTGTCAATTTGAAGTGTCTTTTTTGTCCAATTCTTCTCTGCAAGCTATGCTATAATTGTCGGTATTTTGCTGATAAAATACATTTCTTTTGGAAAATCATTAGGGTTCAAGCAACATTTTATATGAGTGAACAGAAGGTTTATGAATCTTAAATTTTCATATCTATTTACATTTTAACAAAGAATAAACATTTATGATAAGGCTGTTTTCAGTACCCACCTTTTAAATAATAAGTATCTTTGTCTACTTCATATATATCTTCGTAAACGTCTAACCCCTGTTCCACTGTCGACCGTGGTTGATGCAATTCCTGGAAGATGTGTCTTTGCAGACCTTTCAGTAGAGTTTTTCCAGCTCCACGACCCCCAACAATCATTGCAGTAGCTATGTGCCTTGTTTGTGTCCCCTCTTTAGCATATCCTGCGTATCTGCACCTTGCATCGGACTCCCAGTTCACTACTTCTATCGGCACGCTTACTGAAATTATTTTGAAAGTGATTTATGGACATTTTTACTAGTGTTCATTTTTATCATCAATCACTTACATTTTTAAGGCTTAATATTTGAAACTGTTTATAGTCATACTTTCCGTGAAATATGTTAATACAGCTGCATGAAAATGATAAGCAATGGATAGTATTAGATCAGTTTTTAACGTTATGACAGAAAAAATTCTTATTTAACAGGTAATATGTAACGGTAATAATAGTTGTCGAAAAGCTGTTGTTCCAATTGATAATAACTGTAGTTATAGATTATAGTATATGTACTTTAAAAAGCAACTTCATATTTTAGGGTTTTTGGCATAAACATCAATGCACTAATTCATGAATACCGCTAAAAAGTATTTATATACTACATGTTGTATAGAATACGCGACTCTGACATGCAGAAAAACATTTTAGTCAGTGATTGTACTACAAATCATACATATAGTCAATAAAATATATTTTTTATTAATTTGCATAACTAATATGCAAAAATTTGCATATATTAACTTTGGATAAAAAAACATACTTTCACTTGCTAGTTTCTCTTTATCTGTGATCTTATCTACCAGGCTTCCGTGACGTAGAACATCTACTCCTAGTTTTCTTACAAAGCACTCCTCCAAAACTTCCAGTATGTCTGAATTTTCTTCTTCATCTTTATTTTTACATGTCACTGTCCTTGCATACTCCATTAAGAGGTCCACAAAAGAGAGAGGAGGTTTTCCCTCTATATGAGGCTTGTAAACTGGTTCTATCACCTCATTTTCAGTTATTGATGAAGCTTTAAAAAACATTAGCTTAAAAATATCATAGCTAGAAGACATACGAGCAAAATAAATTACAGTATACAGCTTCTTATATAGATCTTATCTGAACTAATTTATAAACGTCTTAAGCTCTTCAAATGAAGGTTTGCTTAAATCCAAATAAAAAAAAAACAAACCTGAAGTTTCTTGTTGTATATGTTCTTGTGAAAGTCGTACAAGACTAATCGGTTCAGTTTCAGGAGAGACAATGTACATTAAATCTACAAAAAACGATGTTAAATTAAAAAAAAATAACAATGTTTAAAAATTTCACGAGAAAAAAAAAACTTGGCTGATCACGCTTACTAGATTCAATCATAGGAAGCCCGAAGGACTTTTCAGTAGATTTGATCACATGCCTAACAAGTTCATTTCCGAATGTTGTTTATTACTTATGCTAACATTTGAAACGACAATTCTGAATAGAACTACATGTACATGTATTACACAAATGGCCCACCGTATTGCTACATGTATGTTAGATGTCACGCGCAATGTTCAGGTGTCTGGTCCAACATTTGAATACTAGTACTTACATTTGAATATGTCTATTGACGTTCTGCAGTCTAGTTCAAGAAAATTCAGGTTATAATGGAAAAACAATTGCTACTGAGATTAGTATTATAATTTTTTTATATGTGAAGTCAAACGCGATGGAATCGTAAGTTTACATTCCCCGAGAAAATTCGGATTTAGTACAATTCTCAGTTAACCTTGGACTTTCAGTAAGGCGAGGCATTTTCGGCGCTACGTAATTAACGTCTGTCAAATGGCGAATAGATTCTCAAAGGTTAAGAATTTGATAACATCAGAAACTTTAAATTGTTGTTGACAACAAAGAAACAACTTAATTCCCCCTCTTTGCCGAAAGGCATCTTGTTATTTTATTATCAGAGGTGGGTTTAGGTGCAATAAAGAAGTGAGCATTACCTGCCGAACGGAAAATCATTCATTCAATTCAGTGTGTAAATAGTGGACTAACAATAACAGGTGGTATTAAAAACGTTAGTCAGCATTTGACTCAATGCTACAATTGTATTTGCTAACAAGTTCATTATACCATAGAACTCACGGAAATGATTACTTTAAACGCTTTGACATTGACTGCTGATATTCTTGTTTTATCAATTTGTTTGTCAATAATTAACCTCGTTCTAAAAATTGTACATACGTAGAACGTGTACTTGCGTATCGAATCAAATGAGAGCTATAAAGTTGTGGTGCTGATAAAGGTATATATAATATATTGTATATTGCTGCATAAATAAAGGAATTTGAAGATTGAAAAGTTTAAGTCATCATGCATGGATTTCATGGCTTTCGTGGTTTGGTTGATTGATTACCATTAACGTCTTTTTAAGTAAAATATCCAAACATGAAACAGATGCGTCAGACTCTATGGTATCTTTTATATCAAGCTCACCAGGAGAAATCGATTTGACATAAGAATGAAAATTATTATCTTTAATTAGCAATACGTCGCCGATATATCAAAATGTCGAGTTGAAAGCCACAGCAAGTGTTTTCTGCTTTTCACGTATAAGATTTCGGACACATTCTGCTTCATGTGAAAACAAAAAAAGTCAGCTTATAACAAGGCGCATTTGGTTTCCATTCGAATTACAATAGATTGTTTGAAGAATTGGTCTCCAAAACCGCAAAGAGATATTGTCAATCAGAAACTCAAGCATTTATTTGATGTCAACTTCAGAATACTTGTGTGTACAATCTGAATGTTTCTAACAAAATAATTTTGCAAATGACCAATGCCAAGGAAAGTAAATTTTCAATTTTTTTTAATTATTGAAAAGTGGTATAAATTTTTATTGAAAAGCAGACGTCGGTGATATCAAATAGTCTTGGATTTAATATATCGTCGGGAATGGTTGTATATAAAGTTAAAAGACGCAAGTTTTTAAACTGTTGAATTTGGTAAAATTTTAAATTGTCCAAAAATTCCTTGGAATTTTGAAGTATCCAAATATGATTGACACCATTTCTTAAATATATGTGTAGTTCCTCTTTCACTACTTTAAATATTTTAAGTTAGTGAAGAGGAAAGCCGCTACGTATATATCTTTGTTGTAAGGATTTCTTAAATATATTTTCGGAATACAATATAGATAAGGTAGTTCAAATTTATTGTGGTTCTTTGGGATCTTCGAAATATTCAAAACTTACATACAATACAATATTTCTTGTATTTTAACGTCGAACAGACTTTGGTATATGTAATATTTTAATAAGTCTGTAAAAAAAATTAAGAGTTTTATGTACAATGGATTTTCAAATATTTGCTACTATTTTTTTTAAACAAGTGTAAAACTGACTTACCCTTAGCATACCTTTTCTTCTTATCGAACACTCTTATTTTAAAATGAATGACAAGGCATAAAATTGTTATAACCGGCACAAAAACTCCTGCAGCAACAATAAGCCTAAAAATGAAAGAATTTCAGATCTTCTGAAAGCAATGGTATGCAAAGCAGTAAAAGGACCGTCATTGATAAAAGGTTGCATGGAACACTTACATTAAGAAATTTGGAATACTTACCAAAAAAACAATACAAACATCGGTATGAAAACTACATTTTTAGAAAATGTTATACAGATTTGCTCAATTTTTAATCAATCAAATAATTCAACCCCACGGGGAGTATAATATTCCCCTGGCCAAGCAATTTAAATAGAAAAAAGTGCTTAAATTTGATTATGAAAGCAATCTACCGGACATATTACATAGCCAAACAAAATAAAAAAATCGATTGGTTAAAATAAACAACCCCTTGCATTTATTTAAATTACAGTATTGCATTTCTTTATGATTTTGATTTCCAAAATATGGTAATATTATGCCTAATTGGCATCGACCAGTAAACATTCAATAAATCTTAAGATTAGATGAAAGAGAAAAAAATATATATCAGGCATATATAAAGGATGGACTTTCAAATTTGAGTAGATGATTACAAACGGAAAAAACTTAAGAATAGGATGATTTTTTTTTATTTTTTGGAGGGTGGTGAAGGTGATAACGTCCATTAGTTGTACAGAACCTGCTTTTCAATAAATATTTTTGTTCTACATGTAATGTAAAAGAAAAAATAATAAAATTGATTTAGGACAATTAGGGAGATAGGAATCTTCGCCTTTCTGACTACCACGTAGTTTTCTTAAAAATACTCAATCATTAATTTTGGTAAACAAGAGTTTATGTAAGTGAATGTTATGTTTATTCAGTTGTTGTAGCATAAATTCATTGTTTAAGAAAGATTGTATAGAATTACGATTACTTTGTAGTTCACCTGATTGAAAGGCTCAACTGAGCTTTTCTGATCAAAATTTGTCCGTTGTCTGTCGTCGTTGTCGTCGTAGTCGTCGTTGTGGTCGTCATGTAAACTTTTCACTTTTCACATTTTCATCTTCTCAAAAACCAAAGGGCAAATTTCAATCAAACATACCAGAAAGTATCCTTGGGTAAAAGGGATTCAAGTTTGTTCAAATAAAGGGCCAATCACTCTTCCAAGGGGAGATAATAATGAATTAATAAAAAAATTAATGGCATCTTTTAAAAATATTCTTCTCCAGAACCACTGGGCCAGGAAAGATGAAACTCATGTGGAAGTATCCTCTAGTAGTGTAGATTCAAGTTTGTTTAAATCATGACCCCCGGGGAAAGGTTAGGTCCACAATGGCTGATCAAAATTTAACATAGGAATATACTAAGGAAAAATCTTTTAAAAATCTTCTTCTGAAGAGGAAACCCATGAGGAAGCATCCTCAGGTAGTGTCAAATCAAGTTTGTTCACATCCTGGCCCCCGGGGGTAAAGCGGGGTCACAATGGCTGATCAAAGTTTTTCTTCTTCTTCTGAAGATCAGCAAAGCAATAATTGGGATATCAATACGGAAACATCCCCAGTTAGAGTTAAATCAACTTTGTTCATATTATGACCCCTGAGGGTAAGGTGGGGCCTTCTTGGGCAATCAAATCTTTACATAGATATATATGTGAAACATCTTGAAAACTCTTCTTCTCAAGTATAACGAAATTATACATGCATGCTGTATTGATATGGTGACATTCTCAAGTTATAAAAAATTCAAATCCCCCCTCCCCCAACAAGTAAACTTTTCAATACTGAGCTGATTTGTGTTTTTTCACTAGCCCATGTGCACAGGTGAGCTATGATGTCCATGGGCCTCTTGTTTGGTTTAGTAATGTTAACTCTATGATGGCAAGTGTAAATGACAAAAGAGTTACATACTGGGCATCATTAAGGGATGAACAATAAGGTATCGACAATACGATTCTATCTCAGTAGATTTGCGCTCTATATTAAATATTGAAAATTCGAAATAACTTGTAAAATTGGCTTTTTTGTAGACTTTTTTAGAATAGGAGGAAATTGGCGTTATAATGCATTGATTAGCCAGAAATTAAAGTCATTTTTGCTGGACATTTTATCTCCAAATGCAAATTTAAAGGTCGAAAAACAATATTCAATATATTGTTAACTAAAATTTAGCAGTTCAGTTTTCCCCAGAAATTCTCGGAGCTTAAAAAGGCCATATAATTGAACCTCGCTCGTTCTTTAAAAAAAGAATACCGTCATGATCAGTAATTTAAAAACTTACGACAAATGAAGCTGCTTGTGTTTGAAAAAAAATTCTTCATATTCTGTTTGTTCGGACAATTGTGATTTATTTTCTTTCTGAATCATTGAACTTTGGCTTGTAGATAAAAATGCAGGAGTGGTACGATCTTCTGTAATTGTTGTTGTGGATGTGATATCGGGCACATCGAAACACCCGGGATCTGAAATGAAATTATTTAACAGTTATAGACAAGAAATTTATATTTAATTAAGGGTAAGAACTTATGGTTTCTGTTACAAAAACACATATTATATATAATTATGATTATACGTTAGTATATACAACTGTATGTATATAATTATTTTATCGTCATTTCATTTAAGGAATGAATTGAATAGCAATCCAAGTTGTACTATATAACCTTGGTTGGGACAGTTTACACATTATAAAACATGATCAAGTGATTCATTTAAAAGCGAAACCCAGCAGGCATTTAAATGTGATTAAACGTTCAATCAAAGTTGCACTTCAACGTTGAATCAACGTTGAATTTTGGTTGCATATGAAAGTTGAGGCAACGTTGTTTCAACGTTGAATAAACGTTGAAAATGGGTTGAATTTTTGGTTGATTTATGGTTGATTTTTTGTTGCAAATGAAAGTTGAGGCAACGTTGAAGCTTCAACGTTGTCTCAACGTCAAATATCAACATTGAACTAAAGTGAACATTGGTTGAAATTAGGTTTAGATTTGGTTGAAATATTTCGGTTGTACAAACGTTGATATTTGGTTGAAATCACGTTGAATTCATATTACATTTTTCTTTATAAACAAATACATTTCAAATTTTTATAAATATTTTTATTCAAGTTTCGTAAATAAATATTTATAAAAGTTGTAATCCAGTATTATGATTGTGAGAGAATTTATTTTAGTCTGTATTTTTAAGACAAACACAAATTCGAATTCAATCACTGAATCTCAAAAATCACTGCTTGACAAAATTTATATTCCTAGTGAAAAGTGGGTTACAGTAATCACATCCAGGTCCTTCAAAGTACGCGTCTGCCTTACACTACTAAGTTCCACAAAATGGCGGATCCATTGATTTTAATCACGCATATAGTTAAGTTCCACGAATGAAAGAAATGAACAGGAGAATCCAACCTCTAAAGCAAAAGCCTATTGATAAAAGAAATGAAGATGTTAAAGCCATTTGTTCGATAAAAATGTACGTAACACGTTATTTCAAACGATAAAAATAAATGTACATGAATAATTTAAAAAATCAGACAAAGGAATATATTCCGGTACTTGGATTTAATTAACATGATTAAAAGAATTATAGTTGACTTCATGTTAAAATTCGTATGAGTATGCTTATAGATAATTATTACTAAAGAAAAATGTTATAGACAAACATATACATGTACAAAGTGTACTTACAAAATGTTGCATTCCTTTGTATAATTTTCACGGGCGAAGAATCTGATGCAATCAAGGCTGACTATACAATCAATTCCCTGCACCACTGGTTGATTGAACCTTACGACGAACTACAATTAGTTAAATTGTATAATATATTAGTATACTAGCTTATATTTCCTAACCAAATGAATATCAACAAAACACTTAATATACGAACCAAAGATGTTCATTTCACGCAGATTTCAAATATACTTATAAAACAAGAATTAAATGATGTAGAGATACTAAAAAAAAATAATTTCTTAAATTCATGAAAAGGAAATAATAATGATGAGTAGTAATTTTAGGCTCAAAAGTAATGAAGTGATTTATTATTAAATGTCCAGAGTTACAGGCAATTGGATGCATTGCCCAGACTAGTCAAGCTGTGTTAGGGTAATTAAAAGTAGAGCAGTGTCTAGTGTGGTCAATAATAATCAGTCTTTAATGAGTTGAGCAATGGAAGCTATTGTTCGTAGAATCGGGAGCCGTGTTTTGAGTTAAGTTCTAGCTAGAGTATGACAGTTTGATGAAGATTTAATAAAGATATATGTAGAGTGGAGTTAGGTAATTAATAGGTTGGAACTAATGTTTTAGATACTCATCTATTGGAGGTAAAATTTGTATATAATAAGTGTGACATTTGTAGAAGGAGGGACTGCTTTACTTGGATTTAGACAGTACATATGCTACATGTAGCACAGATGTAACCTCTTTCGTTTGTACTGTGCCTCCTCATTGTATATATGTAAATAAAATAGTGCACTGTTTACTGACATTTTATTGGATTTAGTATTAGAAGAATTACCAGGATTTATTAATCAAGGATATCTTAATTACAATTGGATATATACACAGTGGAATTAAAAAGTTATAACTGCTCGGTCACCTCCGTGACATATTTTTGGTGTCAGAAGTGGGATTCCAGCATTCACTTGAACTGGAAGTATATCAGAACCTGTGTCTTTTTCAAAATTGGATTATTGTGTGTGTGTTTGAAAGAATTTAATATTCATTGGATTTATTGGTGAACATTCATTGGATTAATTTGTGAATTCTGTTAAAAATGGGAAGAAAAGGAAGGCAAAGAAGTGTATCTCCGATTTCGTCACCTAGGATGTTCACCAGTCAGCGAGAAGCTACCGATAATAGAGCAGAGTCAAAAACTCATGTTATGCCACCCAAATTCTATGGAGATGTAGGAGATGATTTCGAGAGTTGGATCAAAACATTTGAAAGGATAAGTCGTGCTAACAAATGGAGACCTGAGAGGAAAATTGAAATGCTACCTGCATATTTGAGAGGTCGTGCCTCTGATTTTTACGAAGATTTAGATCAAGATGTCCAAGAGGATTTTGATAAGTTACTTGATCGCATGATGGAGAGATTTTGTCCAAAAGAGTTGCAGAGAATGTATTACACAGAATTATTTCAAAGAAAACAGCTACATGTAGCTCGAAAAATGTTGAAGGTTATGGAAGTGCTATTTTGAAGTTGGCTAGGCATGCACATGGAGGAGTTTCTTTAGATGAACATGACAGGCTTGTCATGGAGCATTTCTTGCAAGGTTTACGTCCTGAGCTACGTCGTTATGTTATGATGGCAGATCCTCAAAGTTTTGAACAGGCTTTTAGAATTGCAAAAAGAGAAGAATGTAACGAGCAACTGATAATGAGTAGCCAACCAGAACCTGCTAAAGTCAACGTAGTTGCAAACGAAATGAAAGTTATTATGGATTCTTTTGAGAAGATGACAGGGAAAGTGGATACAATTGCAGGAAAGCTAGATGGTCTTAATCTTACATCAATGAAACGTGTGGCACCTACTCGCCATGTTCCACCTCAAGGAAGTTATGAGTGCAGAAATCGTCAGATAAGACGCTGTTATAATTGTGGACGAAATAATCACCTTGCCAGAGAATGTCGATTTGCAACAAGCACCCCAAGAAAATTTGCAAGGATTCCGCAGCGTACAGGTTTAAACTAAAGCAGACCTCCTTAGGAGAGGGTAAGGTGGTCATCAGTGAAAAAGAAAATGCCTCTGACAAAATGATTTTATGTAAAAATAGTGATGAAACAAAATGTGAAAAAAGAAAATGTGAAAATATTGTGAAAGTACCTTCTTTAGTTAAAGGTGATTACCAGGGAATACAAATAAAAGGGAAAATTTTTGGAATTGATGCTGTTCTAATGTTGGACACAGGAGCCGTTGTTTCTTTGATAAGTGACAGATTTATTGGTCCAGAAATGAGAAATAAATTGACTTCGACAGACAGACGTATAGTATCAGCAACTGGTCAGGCTATTGATGTGATAGGCATTGTTGAGTGTGAAATTGAAGTTAACTGTGAATTATTCAAACATAATGTGTACGTTGCAAGAAACCTTTGTTATGATGTGATTATTGGAACAGATATTTTGAAAAGTGTTGGTGCAGTTCTTGACATGGAGGATGGCTCAGTATATTGGAATGGAAATTATGTCAAGTTTTTGAGGGAAAACTGTAATGTTAGATGTTCTGTTCATTTGGCTGAAACAATTGAAATTCCTGAAAGATCCCAAGTATTGTGTAATGCAAGAGTCAGTCCAGAATTTTATGGAAAAATTGGAATTGTGGAGCCTAAGAGCGATTTTATGGAGAAGTATAGTGTTATGCCAGCAAGAGTATTAAGCAGAGCGTGTGAATTGATGGCAGTTACAGTTGTAAATTCATCAAGTCAACCTGTGATTCTACATGAAAAAGTGAATATTGGAAGTTTTTGTGAAGTGTGTGAAATTCACGACAATGATGCAGTCAATGAAATACCAGAGAAAGAAAAGGAGAGAAGAGACATTTTGAAGGATCTAAATATAGATGTAGAAAAAATGTCCGAAGAACAGAAAGAGGAAGTCAGAAGATTATTTAGCGAATATCTTGATGTTTTCGCAAAGGATGATAATGATTTAGGAGAAACAAGTTTAGTCAATCATCAAATTGACACGGGAGATGCTCACCCTATAAAACAGCGACCTTATCCAATACCATTTGCATAGAAAGAAGAAGTAAGGAAACAGATTAAGAGTATGCTAGAAAAAGAAGTTATAAGACCTTCAAGTAGTCCATGGGGATCACCTGTAGTTTTGGTGAAGAAGTCCGATGGAAGTTATAGGTTTTGCATAGATTATAGAAGAGTGAATGCAGTCACTAGGAAGGATGTGTATCCCTTGCCTAGAATAGATGAGATGTTAGAAGTTTTTCAGAAAGCGAAGTATTTTTCTGTCATGGATGTATTAACAGGCTATTGGAATGTACCTGTATGTGAAGAGGATAAAGAGAAAACTGCATTTGTATCGTCGGAAGGATTATATGAGTTTAATTGTCTCCCGTTTGGATTGTGCAATGGTCCTAGTACATTTCAGAGGTTAATGGATTTGGTTTTATCAGGAATACAGTGGAAAATGGCGTTGGCATATATTGGTGATATCATAGTTTTCTCAAATACATTTGAAGAGCATATTGAAAGATTGGAGGAAGTATTCAGGAGATTAAGGGGAGCAAATTTAAGATTGAAGAGAAGAAAGTGTTCGTTTTTCAAAAGTGAAGTCGACTTTCTCGGACATATTATATCATCAGAAGGAGTGAAAGCAGATCCTAAGAAGGTAGAAGCTGTGCGCAACTTTCCAAGACCAACTTCCATAAGATTTTTAAGAGCATTCCTGGGACTGGCTTCATATTACCGCAAATTTATTCCTAACTTTGCGAAGATTGCAGATCCGTTAAATAAACTTTTACACAAGGAGACATTATTTTCCTGGGATCAGAAGTGTGAAGAAGCTTTTCAAAAATTAAAAGAGTTGATGACTATAGCTCCAGTGTTGTGTTTTCCTGATTTTGAAAAACCATTCAAACTCAGTACTGATGCCAGTGATCAAGGTTTGGGAGTAGTTCTTTCACAAGAAACTGATGTTGGAGAGCGTCCTATTGCATATGCCAGTAGAAGTTTGAAGAAAAGTGAATTAAACTACCCTACCATTGAAAAGGAAGCTTTAGCTGTTGTGTGGGGAATTGGAATATTTAGGCAGTATTTATTTGGACATAAATTCACTGTCATTACAGATCATAATCCATTGCGTTGGCTTATGGGGATAAAGTATCCAAGTGGAAGATTAGCAAGATGGGCTTTAGCTATCCAGGAGTATGATTTTGAAATTCAATATAAACCTGGTAAGAAACATGGAAATGCTGATGGATTGTCGATATGTGGGAGTGGAGAACCCAGAATAATGTCCTTAGAAGAGCTACCAGAAAAACTTCAATTAAAGAGTATAAGTGAAATGCAAATGAAGGATCCAAATTTACGAGATATTATTGACTACCTGAAAGATAATAAACTTTCAACAGACGAGGAGAGAGCTAGACGAGTTATGGCTTCTGTTTCATTTTATGAGCTAGTGGATGATGTGCTTTATCATATTTGGGCACCAGATGTTAAAGGAAAGCGTAAAGAAGTTAGAAGGAGATTAGTTATTCCAAGGACACTGATTGATGAAGTTTTAACGTGGTGTCACAATGACCATACAGCAGGACACCTGGCATTCCATAAAACTTATTATAAAATTCGATCGAGATTCTTTTGGGAAGGAATGTATAAAGACATAGATTTCTGGTGCAAATCATGCCTAAACTGTGCAAGTAGAAAAACACCTAAAGGGAGAAAACGAGCTCCAATGTTACCCATACCTGTTGATGGACCATTTGACAGAGTTGCGGTTGATGTTTTAGGACCATTACCACCAAGTTTGAAAGGCAATACTTATATAGTAGTGTTTTCAGATTACTTGACAAGATGGGTAGAAGCATTTCCAGTATCAAATACCGATGCGAAAACCACAGCAAAACTGTTCGTTGAAGAAATTATTTGTCGACATTCAGCTCCTCGTACATTACTTTCTGACAGAGGACGAAACTTCACTTCGAGTTTAATGAAGGAAGTATGTGATTTAGTGAATACAAAGAAGATATTTACAACTGCTTACCATCCTCAGTGCGATGGATTGGTAGAGAAATTCAATGACACTTTAACAACTATGCTGTCAATGTTTGTGAATGATCATCAGCGAGACTGGGATGTTTTTATTCCATATGTGTTATTTGCCTATAGGACAAGTATACAGGAAACTATTCAGGAAACACCATTTTATTTAGTTTATGGAAGGGATGCGCGATTACCAGTTGATGTGGCATTATCTGAACCAACTCGTTGATATACTGATGTGGACGACTACAAAAATGTTATATTACATCGATTAAACGAGGCCTTCACTTTAGTGAAAAGTAATATAGAACTTGCCCAACAAAAGCAAAAACAACATCAGGACAAGAATGCGAAAGAGCCCGAATTTAGTATTGGAGAAAGAGTTTGGATTTACTTGCCTGTGACAAAACAAGGTCTTACTCACAAATTAATTCATCCTTGGAATGGGCCACATCGCATAATAGATAAAAACCTCACCTGTGAATTTTAAAGTTGAAAGTTGTGATAACAAAAAAAGACAGAATATTGTGCATGCAAATAGAATGGTACAATTGTTGATCTTGAAGATTTACCACCTAATCTGCGATTTAATGAAGACCATTCTGACAACGAAAGAGAATCTGGAGATGAGAATGAAGAGAATTATCCAAGTGATGAAAATAATTCAGAATTAGAAAATGCACAAAGAACAGTGTTACAACCTGAAATAGTAGAAGTTTGTGATAAGTTATGGTCCAGGAATGATAAAGGGAGAGCAGAAGCTAAATATTTTGTGAAATATAAAAATGATGAAAAAGAAAGTACATGGGTGGATTTTTCACTAGTTCCAGGAAATTTAATCGAGGAATTTGAAAGAAATTATAAAGGTCGAGGTGCTGCATACAGACAAAGAAAAAAAATAAATTGGTGACATAGTGAATAAGTGTGCGGATTACTAGGATTGTGATTTTCATGTGAAATTGTGAATATGTTAGTTCAGAAGATGAAGATAATGGTGATTCAGATAAATTTGACAGGAACCGTGACTTGCGTAATGTACATTAAGATGGCCAGTGCTCCAAAACCATATGGATGGCTCCAAGTTTCATTGTGCGGTGCTCCCAAAACACATAAATTTTGGAATTTGGCATTTGTCAGCCCAGGTCTATATATTGGACATTGGAAAGAAAACAACTTAAACTGAAATTTACTTTCTTGGAGAACATTCAACTTATTACATGTATTATTATGGATTATTCTAAGAACTATTGTTCACTTTGTAACAGAGAATTTAAACAAAGACGGAATTTATACAGACATAACAGAGAGTGTCATTCAAATGGACATTACGATCATCAGTGCCCTGTGACGACGTGCGGTAAAGTTTTCGGAAGAAAATATGCTTTAACAAAGCACATGAAGAAGTACCACACTTATTATGATGAGCCTGAGCCAGTGTTTGTGACCATCAAGAACGACATGTACTCCGACATTTCAGATGAAGAAGAAGAGAACTTTGGAGAATTCTTTACAAATTTTTATTCTCCTGTGAGCAACTTATCATTAACATCATTGGAGGAAACAATGGAAACTCTTATAAATCCAGAGGAAGACGAGCCCCAGAACCATGAAGTGAATCCTAACTATGAGGAAGAAGATGTGTCTGACCTTGAAGACCCTGAAAGTTCAGATGACCTTGAGCGGGAAGAAGAAGCAGAAGGACCAGATGACGACTTCAATCCCACCAAGACAGTGGAATTGATGTGTATAAACTTAACATTAAAACGATACCAACATACCTATGCAGATGGACATCAATCTATCGAAAGAGAGACTGGAATAGGTTATAGTAAAGGATTAATACCAGAAGAAATTGACTTTTCTGAAATTGCGATGAATATCATCAATGAAGTGCCAGAACATTTGAACAATTTGAGAAATCGTTTCGTGTCCGCTGAAATTTTGTGATTTCTCTCGTACTTCGTGTTGATGTGCCTTTGGACTAAATGACTTATTTTGGACTTGATAAATTATTCGCTTTGGATTAATATTTTCTATGAACAGTTTAACTTATAATTTGTGATACTATGGACAGCTAAATACATTTTATGAACAGTTAAATATTATTTTTTTTTAAATTGTATAACTGATGTTACACTGTGTTGATATATGATTAGTGGTTCATATATTGTGAAATGTTAGGGTTTGTTACTTAAGTAGGTGATGAAGAGATGCTCATGGGAAGATAATGATTTAAAATAATCAATGAAGTTTAGGAGATTTTACAATGGATTTTAAGGTGTATAGATTTGTTTTAGTAGGTTAGTTCTTTTTGATAAACGTTTCCATAATGTATTTAGAGGACATGTTGTAGTTGTAGTGTTAATGTAATAGTAGTTGTAAACTGAGGACAGTTACTTAAAAAGAGGGGAAGGAATGATGAGTAGCAATTTTAGGCTCAAAAGTAATGAAGTGATTTATTATTAAATGTCCAGAGTTACAGGCATTTGGATGCATTGCCCAGACTAGTCAAGCTGTGTTAGGGTAATTAAAAGTAGAGCAGTCTCTAGTGTGGTCAAGAATAATGAGTCTTTAATGAGTGGAACAATGGGAGCTATTGTTCGTAGAATCGGGAGCCGTGTATTGAGTTAAGGTCAAGCTAGGTTATGACAGTTTGATAAGGATTTGATAAAGATATATGTAGAGTTGGAGTTAGTTAATTAATAGGATGGAGCTAATGTTTTAGATAATCATCTATTGGAGCTAAGATTAGTATATAATAAGTGTGACATTTTTAGAAGGGGGGGGTGCTTTGCTAGGATTTAGACAGTACATATGCTAGCATAAATGTAACATCTTTCGTTTGTATTGTGCCTCCTCATTGTATATATGTAAATAAAATAGTGCACTGTTTACTGACATTTTATTGGATTTAGTATTAGAAGAATTACCAGGATTTATTAATCAAGGATATCTTAATTACAATTGGATATATACACAGTGGAATTAAAAAGTTATAACTGCTCGGTCACCTCCGTGACATATTTTTGGTGTCAGAAGTGGGATTCCAGCAGTCACTTGAACTGGAAGTATATCAGAACCTGTGTCTTTTTCAAAATTGGATTATTGTGTGTGTGTTTGAAAGAATTTAATATTCATTGGATTTATTGGTGAACATTCATTGGATTAATTTGTGAATTCTGTTAAAAATGGGAAGAAAAGGAAGGCAAAGAAGTGTATCTCCGATTTCGTCACCTAGGATGTTCACCAGTCAGCGAGAAGCTACCGATAATAGAGCAGAGTCAAAATCTCATGTTATGCCACCCAAATTCTATGGAGATGTAGGAGATGATTTCGAGAGTTGGATCAAAACATTTGAAAGGATAAGTCGTGCTAACAAATGGAGACCTGAGAGGAAAATTGAAATGCTACCTGCATATTTGAGAGGTCGTGCCTCTGATTTTTACGAAGATTTAGATCAAGATGTCCAAGAGGATTTTGATAAGTTACTTGATCGCATGATGGAGAGATTTTGTCCAAAAGAGTTGCAGAGAATGTATTACACAGAATTATTTCAAAGAAAACAGCTAGCTCGAAAAATGTTGAAGGTTATGGAAGTGCTATTTTGAAGTTGGCTAGGCGTGCACATGGAGGAGTTTCTTTAGAAGGGGGGAGTGCTTTCCTAGGATTTAGACAGTACATATGCTAGCATAAATGTAACATCTTTCGTTTGTATTGTGCCTCCTCATTGTATATATGTAAATAAATTAGTGCACTGTTTACTGACATTTTATTGGATTTAGTATTAGAAGAATTACCAGGATTTATTAATCAAGGATATCTTAATTACAATTGGATATATACACAGTGGAATTAAAAAGTTATAACTGCTCGGTCACCTCCGTGACAATACTTACTGAGCAGAAGTTGATATTCCAGCCTTAATCCTTGTGTGTATAGCTTGAAAGCACATTAAATATGAACAGCAAGGAGACGCGCACTTCTTGTCCATCGGTTATATTCAAATTTTGACCTAGATAAACTGCAAACAGCTATACTCTGCCCAGCAAGAAAATTGCATAACAAGGTTATCCTGACACTGAAACTGACCAAGCGAGAAGCACTGGATCCTTATCTGATATCGCGAAGGTTTTTGGGGAGTGAAACTTAAGTAATGCAACTTGACCGTGGTTAATTGTCAGTGTGAAAATTCTTATGTGTTTATTTGTTTTTTTTTATATTTTGCGAAAAGAAAGATTATAGAATTGATACACGCAACAAAAGCACAATCTAATAAAATATGACTTCTTAGATTCGCTCTGTATACGTATAATCTGCGCAAGAGTATACGGCACGGATCCATATGAGTTTAATTTTAAGAACAATAATTCAGAATAATTATTTTTATTAATTCTATAGTAACATGGAATTACAGCGAGATGTTGGATAAAGATGTTATTATTTATTAAAAGCTTATATTTAACATATTTTATAAATATGTCAAAAAAATTGCATTCACAATTTATTAAAAAAAAAAAACTTTTTTGTAACATAATTATAATCAAGTGTTATATGTAGATGCCATGCTTCATATAAACTCATATTTAAAATTCTATAATGGTACTAGCTATTGGCACAACTTTTTTGAGTAAATCAATTTATAATGCATGCGTTTCATTTATTAAGTATAATTATTATATATAAGAATTTTAAGGTTCCTTAAAATGCTTTATGTATATTGATAATGTATTTCTTTCTCAAATGCTGATACACTCCAGCTTAATTTCAATAGCATCTTCTTATATGGTAAGCTATGCGAGTGCTGATGGATAGAACCAATAGAATCGTTTCGCGGGAAACTGAAGGTGCGTCTCTTTAGAGATAGCGTGGGTCGCCACTTTCTTTCAGGACGCCGGACAATAAACTCACTGGAAATTTTTCTACGAATTTTATTCGATTTTAAGCGGTAAGATCAATTTTACTTTGTATTTATTAATGGATTCTAACAAAATACTTATTTTGGGTCACTCTATTGTTCGTCGCTTCCATCAGTTCCTTAGAAGTGAAGCTGACGATAGATATAATGACGACCTCGGCCTCCAAGCGACACACAAAATATTTTTTAGAGGTGTTGGAGGCCGCACAATATCAGGTATTCTCCGCGAGGATGCGACTTTCATTGAAAGGGTGAAACCGGATAAAATAATCCTTCTGGTTGGAGATAACGATGTCCGAGGTGTCAGTTCCCCCAAGGAAATAGCGGGGAATTTGGAATCCATCGTCTCGGTACTCCATGGTTTTAGAGTTTCCGAAATTCACGTGTGCAAATTATTGCCACGTTTTAATCAAGCATTTAATTACAACGGTATCGTAGACGAAGTGAATGCTCTGCTGAAGTCCTCTCTTCAAGAGTTCAAATTCGCTTCATTCTGGGAACACAATGACCTTTTTTCATCGCCGAATCGCAAGGCATGCAGCCATAAATTTCTTCCAGACGGCGTCCACCTAAATAAGCAGGGTAATGTACATCTATATCGGAGCTTGCGTGGTCTCATTTTATCCAGAATGCGATGAATGTGTTCATAATGAAAATTCCATTAGTTTCATAAACAGTTTGTTCAAAAGTTACAAAATATGTATAAAATAAGAAATAGATATATTTAAAAAAAAAAAATTATAATGATATTAGGACTATCGAGGTTTTCCTTCAAGTAAATGTTTACAAATTAAAAAAAAATTAATTAAAACCCCTGAGATGTTTAATTCATTTCGTATATTGAGACTAAAATCACAAAGATTTACTTTTATTTCTCCGAGAAAACTTAGAAAATATATATAAAAAAACATATCATAATTAACATATGCCTCTTGGAGGCACATCTCACTGCACTAGAATCAAATGGAATTGTGTATCATTCTTGACGCCCTTTTCGAGGCTCATTTTATTGCTCTTTATTTACTAAAACTATGTGACATGTGTTTTTCCGAGATGAATTTTTATTTTACGCCTCCCTGAGGCTCATCTCATTGCACGGGAAATAACACAATTTTCTTGTGTTTTTTCAGAGATGTATTTTTTATTTTACGCCTCCCTGAGGCTCATCTCATTGCACGGGAATTAACACAATTTACTTGTGTTATTCCGAGATGTATTTTTATTTTATGGCTCCCCGAGGCTCATCTCATTGCACTGGAATTAACACGATTTACTTGTGTTTTTCCGAGATGTATTTTTATTTTACGCCTCCCTGAGGCTCATCTCATTGCACTGGAATTAACACAATTTACTTGTGTTTTTCCGAGATGTATTTTAAAAATTTATTTTACGCCTCCCCGAGGCTTATCTCACTGCACGGGAATTAACACAAATTATTTTTAACTTGTGTTTTCCCGATGTATACATATATAATTTGATGCCTCCCAGAGGCTCACCTCATTGCTCGGAATTAATTACACTGTAGCACTATTCACTTGTTTTATTATGGGGATACTATAATTTACGCCTCCTCCGAGGTTTATTTAATTGTAATAGAATTGGCACAGAATTTCAATTACTGGGACTTTTCGCAGAAATTTTAATGTTGTATGCCTTCTGGGGCTTATCCTATTGTATTTACATTAATGCCTTCAGAGTAATCAGTTCGTGGTGGTTTAGGATAATATATATTAGTTACAGATCAACATTCCGGAATTTTAAGGCTTGCTCATATCATTTGCCGGTTTATAGTCACCGGATGTTTACATATTAACCCTTCTATTTATAGTGGTCAAGAGAAAGGAACTATATACACTAAACAAAGGCAGTTTATTTGTATTTCAGTAACCTATCCACCAATTATAACCATGCCACCTAAGAGAAAATCAACCAAAGCTAGAGCAGTACCAAGCCCTGTCTCCCAATACAGCAAAAGACGACGGGTACATGGATCAAATACGGAACCGGTGGCGACAGCTACTGTAACACCTCTATCCCCTGACGACCTTGAAAAGATTACGAGACAAGTAACGCAGCAGGTCACGGCAACAATAAGAGAGGAGTTGACAACACTCATTAGCAACGTGACCAGCAGCATCACAGCCAATAGTCAGGGGAGTATTAGTAATAATACTGTGGGGGCTCCCGTCATTAATAATACAAATCTAACTAATTCTGTTAATTGTGAGCAAGATTCGGCTGCTGCATGTGCACCCAATGACCAAGCTATTCAACAGTCGGTTGAAGCCTTGGTCATTAACCATACTGAAAAAATAGCAGGTTAGAGTCCCAGTGGTTTTGTCAGTACGGCAGTTCCAATAGATGCTAGGGTGTCTGATCAACTCAAGTCCAAAATTTGGTCAAACCAGTATATAGACTTCTTAAAACTGCTGTCTAAGGACAAACAAAAGAAAGGTAAGTTCTCTCTACAAGTGGAAGATGGTGACAGTCCCGGTAAGTTGACAATCCACCAGGTGGACAATGATTCATTAAATGACACATCTGTCTCTTCCATGCATGACTGGCTTACAGCATGGAACAGATTTTCAGCAATTTATTGCATGAAATATCCTGATCAACAAGCCCAATTGGCAAAGCATTTAGAAGCTGTCAGGGAAATAGCAGATGCAAAGGGTAATTGGAAAGATTATGATAGGGACTTTAGAACACTAGTCGCCCAGGGACAAGTTGCCTGGGGGGATGTCCATATGGAGTTGTATGTCAACGCCAGACTGACAACAAGTCAGACAACAAAACTAAGTAAAGGTAAGGACGTACAGTATAAATCAATTCCCAAAGGTGCCTGCTTCCAATACCATTCAGGTAAACACTGTCAGGCAGGAATGTCCTGTCGTTTCCAGCATAGATGCTATAACTGTTCGGGGGCTCACCCATTTGTTCAATGCACAAAACCAACTAAGCATCCCTTTCGTGTCATGCAAAAATACCAAAACCAAACAAGCAATACAAATAAACACTCTACCCAAACAAAAACAAACTCATCTTCCAAACAAGGGTCCTACTCCAATCAAGGCAAATAGACTTGCTCACTGGTTATCTGGTTATGATGAACATGAAACTAAATATTTAATTGATGGTTTTGCAAATGGGTTTTATTTAGGATTTGAAGGAGAATGTCCGGGGATAGAATCTAAGAATTTGAATTCTGCACTCGCAAAACCTGAAATTATTAATCAAAAAATACAAAAAGAAATTGTGGCAGGTAGGGTCCAAGGCCCCTTTGAAAGTAAACCTATCCCTAATATACAATGTTCACCATTAGGTTTAGTGGAAAAGAAAGATCCAGGGGAATATAGAATGATTCATCACTTATCATATCCGGATAACCATTCAATTAATGATGGCATACCACCTGATGAGTCATTTGTTCAATACTCATCTATTTTAGATGCTATTCAGTTTATAAAACAATGTGGGGAAGGTGCATTCTGCTGTAAAACAGATATTAAGTCAGCATTTCGAATAATTAACCTACACCATACACAGTTTAAATTTGTTGGGTTTAAATGGGAAAACAAATATTATTTTGATACCTGTCTGCAGTTTGGTTTAAGTTCATCTTGTAAAATATTTGAACGATTCTCAACAGCGTTGCAATGGATTGCGCAAAATAAACTTGGGATATCTTGCATTTCACATGTTTTGGATGACTTTATTATTGTAGACAAATCACCTACACAATGTGTTTACAAGCTCAAAAATTTTCTAGCTATGTGTACAGATATTGGGGTGCCTATTTCTCTTGAAAAAACATGTGGTCCAAAACAGGTGATAACATATCTGGGTTATGAATTAGATTCAACTAAAATGGAATGTAGACTTCCAGAAGACAAAATTTTCAAGTGTGTTGATAAAATTCAGTTTGCTTTGGAACAGACTAAGTTAACATTAAAAGAACTGCAGTCAATTATAGGCTTATTGAATTTTGCTTGTAATGTAGTGTTGCCAGGTAGAGCCTTTTTAAGAAGACTTATAGATTTGACCATTGGAATCAAAAAGCAATTTTACAGAATTCGGATGACAAGGGAAGTTAAGGAGGATCTGAATGTCTGGTTAGATTTTCTTTTCAATTTCAATGGTTCTTCAACGTTTCTCCCCGATAGATGGATAAGTTCAAGTGAATTAAAGATATATACTGATGCGTCAGGTGTTGTTGGATATGCTGCAGTTTTTGGTAGTCAGTGGTTTAAAGGAGAATGGAATGGTAGTTGGCAGTACCAAAACATAGCATTCTTAGAATTGTACCTCATAGTCCTGGCAATACAAGTCTTGTCTAAATTTATGATAAACAAATACAACCAAGCACTGGTTCATGTCATAGATAAGCAAACATCTAAAGATGATTAAGCATATCATGTATCTGTTGAGAAAACTAGTATTGATATGCTTAAAATATCACATTTATTTCAAAGCAAAGCATTTGACTTCAAAAGAAAATTTACTATGTGATTGTCTTTCTCGTTCCAAGGTAAATCAATTCTTACAACTGGCACCATGGGCCGACAGAAATCCAGTCAACGTGCCTCCACTTCCATATTTTCCGAATTAACAAGGCAAATACAGACGCTACTGGATTTCAGCCTCACCAATTCCTCAACTGCCTCGTACTCCTATGCATGGATGATTTTTCAAAATTTTGCACAGAAATATGACTTTCCGATGGAGCTTCCAGTTAAACAACATATTTTGGTATATTACGTCGCATACCTTTTTTCGAGGGACTATGCTGCATCGACCATTACATCTTATCTTTCCGCAATTAGTTACATTCATAAGCTTAACAACTTTGGGGATCCATGTTCATCTTTTTTAATACAAAAATTACTTTTATCAACCCGCAAACTTAAACCTTCACAGGATGTTAGGATACCTATTACCAAAAAGATTCTACATCAAATATACGATGTCTTACCAGTAACAGTTTCCAATGCATTTGAATCAGCCATGTTTAAAGCAATGTTTTTGTTGGCATTTTACGGATTTTTGAGGATCGGAGAAATAACATCTGCCCAGAAAGTGATCAATAAGAATTTACTCCATATTAACCAGATTGTGATGGAACAAGACAAGATTATCATCAAATTTATTACTTACAAACATCACATGGGTAAACCTTTCTTTCTGACAATTAACTCAGCAAGCAACAAAAACTATTGCCCAGTTCAATGCCTCCAAAGTTATATTAGTTTAAGAGGGACACAAAACGGGCAACTGTATTCCTATGTTTAAGATATCCCAGTAACAATGTGTAAATTCTCCACATTCTTAAAAAAGCTGTTTATCGTTTGCAAATCTGGGCATAAGTAATATAACTAGTCATTATTTCCAGATAGGCATGCCATTGCATTGTACAGATGTTGGCATGAGTGACAGTAAGATTAGACTCTTAGGTCGATGGAAATCAGATGCATTCAAGAGCTACATCTGGTCAATTAACTATTACTAAGAATATCACTAGGCTATTTGTTAATGCATATTGGATATGGTTTATCGTGTGAGCAACAAATTAAGAACTTTAGAGTGACATTAGTGATTGATAGATGGACATTTAAACAAGTGTGGTTCAGGAAAATATGTATATTTCCTGATAACATTGCAACTAAGCGGGACATATGTTTATTCCCGCTAAGTTAAATCGATCGTGACGGTTACTATTTTAAACTCATTCATGTAATCAATGCAAAATCCAATTGTTCAGGAACATATGTATATTTACTGATATCATTGAAGTGGGACATATGTTTATTCCTACCGATGAAAGTGTTTAGCTGCTTTTATTTTAACATCTGTTAAATATACATAATTCTTCTGCATGCATGTATGTAATAGTTGAGGCAAATGTGTATCCTCACCTATCATTTGTTATATTTGCAATTCTTTTAAATAAGGCAAAGGTTTTCAGAGCATATGTCTTTCTCTGAAAAGGTTGGCCTTATTAGGTGTATCTGCACTTTGCCACTTACTCAGATCTTTATTACTGGTGTGGGTTTTTCTTTTCTCCTTGGGGTCTGAACTTGATTTATAGGATTAAATCAAGTACATGGCGGTTTCAGACCACAAGGTATAGGTTGCTTTAAAATTATGTAATCATTTACATCATTAATGGGAAAATGAATGGAAATTATTAATTAATATTCATAAAAATATTATTGGGGTAAATAATCAAATATTCATAATTGTATATCAAATTTTAATTAGGTTATGATTACATAACCATTTAATGTGATTTACATCATTTTATCATTTTATGTAATTAACATTTGGGTTATTAATAAAGTCACAGTGGTGGCAGAGTGCAACATAACTTATTGTTTCTGTGTCATGTATGAATATGTATAAGATGGAGGGCTCAGGAGGTTAACAATGGTAAATTACATGAACGGAGGAAATGCATACTAATGGAATATACGTGGAAGCATGCTATATTGGAATGTAGGGATTCGAACATTGTCAATTATGGATAAAAGAATTTTAAGGTTCCTTAAAATGCTTTATGTATATTGATAATGTATTTCTTTCTCAAATGCCGGAGTTATCGCTCTTGCGATACACTCCAGCTTAATTTCAATAGCATCTTCTTATATGGTAAGCTATGCGAGTGCCGATGGATAGAACCAATAGAATCATTTCGCGGGAAACTGAAGGTGCGTCTCTTTAGAGATAGCATGGGTCGCCACTTTCTTTCAGGACGCCGGACAATAAACTCACTGGAAATTTTTCTACGAATTTTATCCACCTCCACCCCTCCACTTTCCTTTTTTAATGAATAAATCCATATTTTATTTGTTTCTGTATTGCGGTTTCAGACCACAAGGTATAGGTTGCTTTAAAATTATGTAATCATTTACATCATTAATGGGAAAATTAATGGGAATGATTAATTAATATTCATTAAAATATTATTGGGGTAAATAATCAAGTATTCATAATTGTATATCAAATTTTAATTAGGTTATGATTACAGAACCATTTAATGAGATTTACATCATTTTATCATTTTATGTAATTAACATTTGGGTTATCAATAAAGTCACAGTGGTGGCAGAGTGCAACATAACTTACTGTTTCTGTGTCATGTATGAATATGTATAAGATGGAGGGCTCAGGAGGTTAACAATGGTAAATTACATGAACGGAGGAAATGCATACTAATGGAATATACGTGGAAGCATGCTATATTGGAATGTTGGGATTCGAACATTGTCAATTATGGATAAAAAATATTTTCTAACAATGCATACAGCTGTGTGTATATTGCGAAAAATCGCTTGGATTAGAAGTTAAAGACACCTTTATATTTTGAACTTAAAAACTAAAGTGCTCAATACTCGTTATATACCCATTGTTTCAAGTTAAATTTTCCTAACTTTCCTAAAGTTAAAAATATGTTGCATCTTCCACGTTGTTTCAACGTTGAAATCAAGAGACAGTCAACTTTGCATTTTTTATACCTTGTTTTAACTCTACGAGGGGTGATCAAAAAGTTCGCAAACTATCTCTATATCTACAGAACCACAATTCAGATTAGAATGAAATTCGGTACACACATAGCCATACACAAGGTCTATAAATAGCATATGCTGAATAAAGTTTCTCTCCTTGTTTGTGACGTCTCAATGTGAAAATGACGTCACTTTTTAGGTCACTTGTAACGAAAAATGGTTAACTCAGTCGAACTCGTTCAACAAAAGACTGCACAATTTATTGTAATATCTTTTAAAACATTGCTGTGACGTCATGCCTTTGTTCTTGCAGTCTAAAAATTTACCTGTAGCCGTCCGATAATAATAATCACCAGTCTGATAATATATTATCGGACTGCAATGATAACAAAATCAGACGGTATTTAAAAAACAAAAAGAAGAGTGAAATTATTGTTAAATGTGTCCAGAAACCCCCAATAAGAATGTTAGGAAAAAAATTCAGGGAAAGCAAACGCAAGGAAATTAAGTTGCTACAAAATAGCAAATCCATGAAAAACTAGTGCTAATTGTAACGGGGACCGTTACAGATGTTCCCC